GAGTGCTCTCAGCAGAGGACAGTGGCACTGCTGTCAGAGTCCTTCCGTATCCTCTCAGCTTTCTCAAAACCAACATGACCTCTGCTCTCTCCCTTCTGTCCAGAAGCTACTGCCATGTACAGCCTTCTGGGTTTTGAACCTGTGGATAAACCATTTAGGAGTCACTCCACAGACCTGCGGCAGGGTGGAAGTAAGGTGGTCCATCCTTTCTGCTCCCATTAGTGGGGTCAGTGCAAAATGTGGTGTGCTGTAGTTGCTTAGCTCTGCTGTGGGTTTGTTTGTTTTAAACAACGCATAACAACAACTATGAGACCTCCTGAAAAGACCTGCTGTGCAACAGGCAGAAATGTAGCTGACATCTGAGATGTCTAAAAACTCAGGTCTGAGCCCCTCCTGTTTTAGCATTTAAAGAGTGGTCTGACTTGAAAACAGCCACTTCCCCCCCATCCGGACTGGGACAGTGGATCTGCTCTCCGTGGGCAGAGAGAAGCTTATAAGTCATTTTTCCAGATGGCTGGAGAGGGGTCAGGAGAGGACACTTGAGCCTGTTCTGAGGCCTGCTGAAGTCAATGAGGTCCTTTCTCTCCATTTCAGTAGGCTGTCAGTGGCCTGTTCCTTATCAGGCCTGAGAGGCAGCACTGATAGCACGCAGACCACTTGAAATGCCGGCCGGGCTGCTGGAAGCTCGCCACCTAGAAGGCCAGGACACAAGCGCCTTTTTCATTGCCAGTCTGTGGCACACTTGGAGCCAGGGACACACTCGTGTTTTTCTCAGAAGCCTCGTGTAAAGCACAGGAAGAGCCTCTGCAGATCCAGTGGCTTCCCTTGAGGGCCTTGGCTCTAGTTCAGGGCTGGCTGATGCTCCTGCGAGTGTGTCAGGGGAAGCAAAGTGCCACCCTTCTAGTTCAGGGGGAATTACAAAGAGAGGATGACTGTGGCCGTATGGACACAGGTAAGGATGGACAGACACAGCTGGAGCAGCTGTCCTTTTAGATATTAAAGAAGTCAACAGAGGAAAAATACTGAGACTATCTGGCCCCCATTGTTCCCAACAGAAGATGAGGATGCTAAGCACACTGCAGTTCTGGGGATCGGTGTTTGTGAGGGTGATTATGAGATGTTACAGCCTTGATTTGTTACGTGCACTTTGGACTTGCAGGCGTGTTTTTGCCCTGGCTTACTTGCTAATTCCCAAATGTCAGGAAACCACAATTTCTTCCCAGCAGTTAGATCAAAGTAGGGCAGAATTTTTTTGTTTGGAAAACCTTAGGCTTCTGATTGTTTGCACAATATTCTTGCTGGGTTTACTGCACAATAAAGCTGTGGATATAAAGAAGGCCACAGCATAGTGCCAAAGCCCCCAAAATCCCAAATATTTTGTGAGTGTGGGCAGTGCTGTGACTAACTCTGTAAAGAGAAGTCATTGTTAATCACAGTACAGACAGTGCTACAATAACCCCGTAGAATAACAGCAGCACCCAGGTGGAACAGCCTTCTCACAGTGCTTAAAGCCCATTTTAAACACACACTTTCATGACATTGAGCTAGATACTGTGCAATAAGTAGTAAACAAAGATTGGTGCACTCACCTTTAGGGCTTACTGTTGGAAAAACACGTGGTTTGGGACAGTGGGTACCCGCAGGAATGCCATCCAGCTGGCATGATGTTGCCTTTGTTCTCTTTTGGCCAGCTGTGCTGGCCAGCAGCAGTTCAGGTTTCTGTGAGCCTGCTTTGGCAGCACTGACTAGTGCCAGTGGCCAGGACGAGCCCTGCTGCCTCTGCCTGGGTGAAACTCCTGCTGGAGATAAAGAGAGATGGTGCTAGTGAAGGTGGGAAAGTAGGACGCTTGAGTACCTGGTTACATGACCAACCATCCTGTCCTTGTCCCTAGTCCAGTGGTGCACTGACTGCTCCTGGTTTCACAGGGATGTGTGAGACATAGACGCATTTGGGGCCTCAGTCACGTGAGCTGCCCCTGCGCGTGGGCCCAGGGCAGCTTGCCAAAACAGACTCAATCTGCAGAGAGTGCGTTCTGCTGCGTGTATCGAGTACAGCAGAGTTGGCCACTGATGTGGTTTTCATCTGGAGCCCATGCAGGAGGCCTCAGGTTTGAAGCAGAGTAATTCTTTTAAGTGGATCAACCCTCTGTAGTATTTAAGAGGCCTAGAAGGCATAAGCCTCCTCTAAATGATGCATCTGAGGAGGCTTGTGCAGGGTTTCCTTTCACCAGTAGGACAGCTTGCCTCATCAGAGATGGAGCCATCCCTCTTTTTGTCAAAGAACACTTCCCCTCTCGGTTTCACTGACACGTGTGTGTGTTTTCCTGTTTACTGCACATCCTTCTTAGCAGCAAACCCCAAGTACCTGTTTTGTTTGCCTTCGTTTGTTAGGGATGAGCCCATTGCCTTGCAGCACACAGCCTCATTTCTCACCAGAAACACATGCTCAGTGAGAGCCACCATCTCCTGCCAGTGCTTGTATGCTCATCACATTGAGATAATTCAAGATTCCAGCACTTCAATAGGTGGAATACAACATGGAAAAGACATACAGAATACTGTCCCCCACTCTGAGGAGTTAAGAACACCCATTCTGGAATCTGCATGGGTATTAGCAGCGGTGTTTGCCTGGCTGCTGCTGGAGGAGCTGTCTGAGGCAGTTACACAGCTTAGAGAGAGAACAGACGGGGTAGCTATTAAAAATTAGCTGTGCCTGTGCTAAAACACAGAAATGGGCTGCAGCACATATGCTGAGTGGGTAAAAGATATTAAATTTGTACTTATTCAGCCCAAACACAGACAGGCTGCAAGTTGCTGATTCTGTTTTGCCTCTTCCACCTCCATCCCTTTTCTGACTTGCACCACAAAGCAGTGGCCCTCAGCCTTTGCTAGCGTTCCCGAGCTGTGCCGTGGGATGTCTGGGCACACAGGCTGAGGGCTCTGCTGTCACAGTACAGATGAATTATACAACCAGAACTTCCCTGGGGACTTCCGTGGCCACCAAACAGCCTTTCAGAAACCAGAGAAAGGGAAGTTGTGAGAGCACTGAGAAGCAGGAATGGGGGTCCTGAGTGCTGTGACTGGTTGACTGCTGAGTCCCATTCAGGACTAGGACAGTGCAGGCAGGTACGAGCCCCCGTGCCTGGCCTTCAGACCAGCCAGGGGTGAGTTTTAGACTGATGGAGTCCCCCTTTCCTGTGGCTTCTGGGGCCCCATGTCCTGCTTCCACACTGGCCTTCTGACATCCAGACCAGGACCCGCTTGCAGTTGACCAGCTTGGAGAATGCTGGGAGCTAGTTGACATCTGGCTGGGTCTGTCTGGTGCAGCTGTGCCCTCAGGACATGAGATGGTGCCTGATTAAACACAGCTAAAAGAGCTCACTCTACCAAAGATTTTTCTGCAACCCCTTGTAGGCAGAGGCCTGGCAGCACCAGAGATTGCTGTGCGACCGGGTCACAAGACATTGCAGATAAATAAAACTGAACTGATTGTACAAAAGCTATTTTTGCAAAATAAAATCTGTTTCAGAAAACTGGGACTTGAGTTGCTGCTTGTTTCTTGGCAGCAGAGCACTAACGCCTGTGATGTGCTGCCACTCATTTCTGGCAAGCACCAACTCTGTGGTTTATAATCTGCGTTCGTACATAATCACTTGCAAGTTGTTTCTATAGATGCTGAATGTAAAATATTTGGATCAAACAGATTGTATTATCTTACATAACTTGTTCCCTTCCATACATTCAATGCCACATATCTCTTCTACTCCCTCCCCTCCCTGGTTGTATCAGTGGATCCTGTGACAGGGAGCTTATTCCAGCTACGGATTGTACTTTGGAACAGAGCTGCTAAACATAGAGGAAGCCCATCCGTGGAACAAATGACGAGTGGGTGGCATTCAGGCAGTGTGGCATATGCATTCTTTCTCATTTGGTCTGGCCTAAGGAAAGCTTTCACGCATCCCGCGATGTATTTTCCCTCCATCTCCTCACCCCTGCTGGGTTCCTCTTTCTCACCTAGATTTGTCACAGTGTTCTATATATTCTGGCCCAAATTTTGCCCCTTCTTAGTTTTTGCTCATCCTTCCCTAGCATGACTTTCCATGGACTTGGCTGAAACTGTGTGTGCAGAAGAACGAAGACTCTCCAGATTTGATTCTTTCAGTAGTCTCTCTGCCTTTGTTCCCCCCACTTGTGCTGATTTCACTGGAAATAATTCCTGTGGTGCAGTCTATCAACTTTAACCATTTCAGCTCCATAGTTAGAGAGCATCTTCCAGGTGGATCTGCTGTACTGCTTGTGAAAAATCATGGAGCAGATGCATTCTGCCATTAAATCTAAGTGAGCTGTGGACCTGTGTGGGATGTCTTATGAAAGGTCACACAAAAAGGTTGTAACAGTCAAAGTTTAAATCTGTCCTCAATCCTGCTCTTTTCTCATGCGAACAAAAGGTGTCTTGAGAATGCTGCATTTGCCTGTTGATGTTTTCTTCAGGGCAAAGGTTTTAATTATTGAAGTTCAGTTCTATGTGATTAAATTTGTACATATTGGTCTGGAAGATTTCTGCTGAAATAGAACTGCTGTTTTAGGGGATTTCTTCTTTAACTGCAGTGTGATTGGAAGCAGAGTTGGTTGAGTAGCAAAATAGACCTAATGCAACAGAATTTCCACTGGTCTATGTAATGCTGAGGCTTTGCCACCTCTTTGCAATATCTGCTCCACCTGGACATTTTCCTTGATCCCAGCTTTTTGACTCACTGAAGCATATTTTGTTAGATAGGTCTGAAATACCTGTTCCCACAGCGCCACTTCTGTCATGAACACACAGTCTGCCTCCACATGGGATTCTAGCTAAAGGCTCTAATTTACAGCTTTTCATTTCAATTCTCCTTGAGGACAAATACCTTTTTTCAACTGATAAATTACACCCTTTTCATACTTCAGGTCACACAAACAGGCTCTTACCTTTTTTTCGTTCACAGGGAAAAAATCAAGAAAGGTCTAAAGGATCTGGAGGAGGTGACACCAGCAGGTGAGACATACATACATGAAGGACTAAAACAGGTAGGTTTTACTCATCTTCTTGTAATCAACACATCCTCTGTTCTCAGCCTTTGGGTAACAACCTGCAACATAAATAGATTTATCAGTCTGTTTTGCTCAAATCTCTCTGGTTGACTGAGTGGTCCCAGGGTTGCCCAGACACTCTGCACATCCCAAGCAGAAGATGACTAGCCATCACAGCAATCTGCCATGTGGAATTTCTCTGGCTCGCTCCTTCTCACGGAGCAGGGGTCTGTGGGGTGGATCTCAGAGCTCAGCCAGCATCCCAGTGACATGGTAAACAGCCCCACACAGCTGGGCAGGGCTGCGGGGCTTCCAGGGCCTTCCAGAGTGCTTTCCCTGGGGAGAGTTTACCACACAGAGCAGTGATCCAGAGATAAGTGCTCTTCATTTTGGACTCTCTTAATTATGGAGTTCCCAGCCACTTTTATTTTTTTTTTTGTTCAAATAATGCAGTTTGATGAAAGCCCTGGCCCTGAAGGTGAGGAACTAAGCTTTCACTGTTACAGAACAGTCAGTTATTCCCCAGTGACTGTAGAGCCTTGCAAGCAGGATCTGCACAATGACAAGCTGAGCAAAGGGAATTTTGTTGCTATTGAAAAAAAGTTTTAAGCCATTGTTTTTATATCTTGGGACCTACTGACTGCATTGAAAGCTGGGGGGTAGCAAACGAAATCCTAACTGTGAATTTGAAGAGATCTGTCCTGGAAGAACTGCAGGTCAGCATGGGGTGATGGGTAAGTGACCCCAGCGCTTTAGAGATTGGCTCAGTGGTGGCTGGAAAGGACTGATGAGGGGTTTCCTTGCCTGTAGTGAGTTCAAGGGAGGCAGAGGATTGCCATGAGAGAGATGCTGTATTAGATGCTTAGAAGATGCATCATGGTTAAAGGTTCGGGTATAGTTTTAAGGTGGACAATCAATTTTGTTGTTTTCAGGCCAACGTGCAAATTGCGAAGCAAGGAGCCTCAAGGTTCTCTAGTATCATCATTGCACTAACTGATGGCAAGCTGGATGGTCAGATTCCCCTGTATGCAGAGAAGGAGGTGAGCACCATCTGGAAATACGTGTCATGCTCTGCAGACTTTGGCTGCTGACTTGTTGAATTAAAAAAAATGCTTATTTTCTGTTCTATGATGCCACAGGCAAGGAAATCCCGAGAGCTGGGAGCGAGAGTTTACTGTGTTGGTGTCCAGGATTTTGAACAAGAACAGGTAAGAATAAGACCTTTACTATTATAGAGTACTAGGCAGTACCTCAACCCAGGGTTTTACAGAGTTGATGTTAAATAGCACAGAAATTTAATTTTACTTACATTAGGCAGTGTAATGTCTTCTCTGGCTCAGGAAGCACACTCAGATGTATACGTAGACATAAATAGAATGTGTGGGTGTTGTGCTCACTGCCGAGGAGACCCGTTGGAAATCCCCTTGTTAACTGGGAGCTGCCAGCGGGAGGGTGCAGGCAAGCCCCTCTCATTGGAATGGCAACCAGGTCAGGGTACTGATCACGTGAACAGAGGAGCTGTGGACAAGATGCAAGCAGTATCTATGTAACAGTCTTGGGATAAGAAAACGAACCTGGGATTCATGTCCTTCACTGGAAAGTGTTCCAGAGCTGCTGTGTTCCAGTGAACACTGTAGCTACTCCTGTTCGGTCAAAGTGGCTTCAAGGAGAGGTATACAAAAGGCTCCTTCCTGCAGAAGTGCAGAGAAAGAGCTTTTAGTGAAAGGCAGAGCAAACAGGAAAGGTAATTCTGGACAGAGGTACAAAATCACTGCCAAGATACAGGCCCTGAAAAGCTTCTTCAGTGTGATGCTTGCCATGATGACTAGCCAGCATTTTGCTAGCTGCAGTCGGCTGTGATAAGTCCTACAGTTCTGAAAACTCTTAGTTAGCTGTGAGAGAGCTCTCAAGTTTCCCTCTCTTCAAGGAATTGATGAGGGCTGACATCCATTTAAATTTTAAGGGTGTAAAGCACTGTGAGGAATTTAGTTTGCCAGATGATTCATGTGTTTGCATGCGTTTTCTCTCCAAAGCTGGAAAGAATTGCTGATGTGAAAGAGCAAGTCTTCCCTGTCACTGGAGGATTCCAAGCACTTAAGGGGATAATCAATTCTGTGAGTACCAGGCAATAAGTTTTACCTTTCCCTCAAGATTAGAGCATACTCTCCAGTCCTACTTCCAGGCAGAGCTGGTTCCTAAGGCAGGAGTTGCAGTAGATGAAGTTCCTCCCCATTACCTTAGAGAGGCAGTTCTGTAAATGAGCACTGCTTGCACCTCCTGCAGTTATTGGTGCACAGACCCCGTGTAGAATTCAAGGACTCTTCCCAAGGAGAGGGGAGTTCATGTGTGAAGTTCGGGGGATGCTCTGATAAATGACTGCTTTGGGTTTAGTCTGGAAAAAATGGAGATTGTTATTCTGGGAGACTTGAGAACAAACAACTGCTTAAAATCTGGGGAATAGGTGCAATCTAGGAATTAACCTGTACTTACCAAGAGAAGTGCTTTAAATCCATGACCTTAACCACTTGTTATCCCAATAAGTGTTAAGACTCAGTTCCAGTTTTCAGCATGGCATGAGAAACTCCTGTCGGTGAGATGAGGCCATTAAGCTGATGACTGTGGTTCGCAGGAAGGGATTAAAGAGAAACATTTTGGTTGTGATCAGTGACTTGACACGTGTTTCAGCCATGTGTTAAGACACCTATGGTTGTGAACACAAAATTTATTTGTCTCATTTTAGACTGAAGGCTGTGTCTTTTATACAAGGTTAACAGTGCTGCTGCTGCATGTAGGCAGCACATTGCAAACAGGCTTACTGGCAGAAGTCAAAAGCAATAATGAAATCCTTTTTCTGAGAGAGAGCCCACTGTCATTCATTTCCCTTTCCTTTTCTTTTTTTTTAAATAACAAGAGGATACTACTCACATACAGGATACTACACAGTCACGAATTTATCACTTCCTTTGAACACTGTGGTTTTTGTGAATGCCGTAATGCAGCAACTTATTTCCCTTGTTACTTAAAATAAGTGTAGTTCCAGAATCTTCCTTGAGCTTTCTAAAGAAAATTAATCCATCTTTTGATGCATTGAGATTTGTTCCCCTGAAAAGACAGGGCAGCCCATGTGGCACTGCCTAAAACCTTTACTATTTAAAATCTCACTCTGTGCCATTTGAAGGACTCCTGGGATTCAGCAATGCTGCTGGTGCAAATGATCCAAGTGCCAGTGATGGGCTTTTTTATAAGGGCTGGATGTTTAACCCTTGCTGATGACGTGGTGTTTCCAAGGATACTGCTTTGCAAATAAGCATGTCAGGGATAGAGGAGTAAACGTGCTCGCGTTCGGCGTTTCCCCTCAAGCAAGGGTCACTGACCTGCTCATGGGCACTTCTGAGGGCTCAGGCCTCCGCACTCCCCCGCTCCTTTCAGGAAGCAGCAGGACTATGGTTGCTCGAGGTTTCTGAGGAGCTCAGCTCGAAGAGCCTGGCATTCAAACACACGGCAGGTTAGCGTAAGCCGTAGCGTGTCCCATTACCCAAGGTGGTTTTGGGCAGTCTCTGGCTAGTAGCAGTGCCAGCCTGCGGTGTCCATACCTCCCAGAATTTTAAAGCACCTTCACTACTGTGTCAGCAGGGAGGGAGGCTTTTCTGGTAAGGTATGTCTGATGGTGTTTGCACAAGCCTCGATCCAGCTACTTCTGATACTTATAAAAAACTGGGCTGTGAAAATCCCAGATTTGTGCATATCACAGCTGTATAACAGGACCAAACACAGAGCATGGCAGCATTCTGTTTCAAGGTAACAGCTTAAAAGTGACAGGGAAAGCCAACTGATACACACACTGTTCTACAGCTTACATGCAAGGCCTGCTGCTGCAGACTGAGCTCCTGAGTCGGTTCAGGCTTTATTTACAGCCTGGCCACCAGACATGTCAACGCTCAGCTTTTCCCACAGACCATGGATGGAAGTATCCATAGCAGGGTTTTTGCTTGGTCTGGATTTTGTGCCTGTGTGTGTGGGCTTTTTTTGTAGTGCATGTGTGGTGGCGGTATTAATAGGATATTTGGTATGTTAATATAATTAATACTCACTTTTCTTTGCAGGGGTTGGGAGTGATTGTGACAATTCATTCTCATAACATTATAGCACTGATAAATAGATCTAATTGAACATGAAATAGTCACATTTTCCTTTTCAGTCTTTGTAATAAATTCATTTCAGTTTGCAAGTTAGCTAGAGAATACAGACTCGGAGACACTGATCTAAAGGGGAAAGCTAATTTTGAACCAGATGAAAAGAAGATAGGTCACAAACATACAACAGTACTGCTCAAAGTACAGAGTCAAAGGTGCAGTTGTGAAACCCTCTGTGAATGTTGCTGAACAATTTCTGTTCAGAAAAAACATTGTCTTCAGAAATAGTAGCAACCCAGCAATTAAAGCCCCTGAGCAAAACTACAGCCCAGAACTGCTGAGTAGATGATGCAGGAGCATCTATTACACTGATCTCTCCAGGTATGAGATTATTTGGCTGCTATCCTGTTACTTTTGTACTGTATTCCAGGAGAGCTGAGCACTTATTCTGCGTTTGTTAGTGTTAAAAAAAAAAAGTGATTATTTTAGCACAGACTATCTGTTGTACCTGCTCCTGCAGTTGCTTTCAGAATAAGCAGCTACTCCAGTTTGTTTTCTCTGAACAGATACGCAATGCCTATTTAATCATGACCGGGGATTAACATCCAAGACAATTGCAATGAGCGTTTAGACTAACCTTGGCTTAGATGCCGGAGGGCTTGCGCCATGTCTTGACATCAGTTCTGATAAAACCCTAGGGATGTGTGAAGGGTTGATGTACCTCCATGCCATTGTTTCTGCTGAATAACATGCACTACCACACTACTAACTACATCCAACTACACTGCTAACATCCACTACTAAAAGTCTGTCCAGACCTCTGAAGAGGGGGCTGCTTTGCAAAGTTTCCTGCTCTGCCAGCATTGCTCATACCTAGCTTACAAGGTCATAACTAAACAGCATTGTCAGTGTGAATAAATCTGAGCAAAACTCTAGAGCTTAAAAGCAAAACGCTGAAGGCAAGTTACCGCACTCTGAGGAAAGTCACTGATGGGGCTTGGCTTATTGTTACATGGAGTGTAGCCTTGTGAGCGAGCCAGGACAGGGTGAAGGCTTTGGGAGGGCACAGTTTCTGTCATCATGCAGCAGATCACTACTAGATAAGAAAATGAAACCCTTAATTAAACTGAAGTTCTGCTGATTTGTGAGTGAAAGTTATCTAGTTGTCTCTGCAGGCAGAATTGGACAAGGCTGGTACTTTGAAAAGTTACATTAAGGGAACTCACTTAAGTAACATTATCAGTGTATGACAGCTCTAAGTAGACAAACACATTTTTATACTGAAGTAAGTTGACAGCACTTAATACAGGAAGTTAAAATGTATTTTGTTCTTAGGAAACACCACAAAAACTTACCAGATAAGACTACAGGAACTGATACATGCAGAACTTTAGAGGAAGTAGGTCAAAAAAGGGTCAGCCTAGAGTTGTTTTATCTTCCAGTGTTCAAAAATTTCTTAAAAATTTTACCTGAAAAGGATTAGAAATAGAATTGGTAATCTCTCCTTCTGCTTGTTCATTTCATAGGTGCTCAGTTTTTTTTTTTGTTTTGTTTTTGTTTTTTTTTTTAATTTACATGGGAAACTCACTGTTAAACATAATGAACATAAAAAAAAGTAGATCAAGTCATGTGAACCGAGTAGTTGCATTGTAAATTGAAGCAAAATTCTCTCCAAGTTGGCTGAGCCTCTTGGGAAAAAGCCCTATGCCTCAGCATAAAGCTGTCAGTTTGTCCAGGAAAAGCTGCCAATTGGGATACTTGAGGATCTGCCTCCTGGTGAAGGGGTGACCAAGGGAGAGGAGACCTCAGGGTTCGCAGGGTGCAAGCTCCCAGGCTGACATGGACTGACTGAGACCCATCCAAGGAGTGCACCCGGGACCAGTGAGGCCAAACAAAGGGTTAAATGCACACAAGGTCCTTAAAACCCCTAGGTTCACCCAGTGTCAGACTCTGGCTAAAGAGGTATGAGCAGGGAGTGCTATAAAAAAAATAAATTGTTTGCTATCAAAGTATGAATTCTCTCCAGTAAAATTCTGTGGGTGATGGAGGGAAGTCTGCTCCTGTTGCAAAGAGCAGTCAGCAAAATCCCTCTGGCATTCCGATCTCTTTGGACACCAGTGAAAGGTATCTGCGGAGTATCCTGGGGGTTTCCATGTCAGCTGGATGGTTCCTGTGTCACTCGCTGTGTGTGGCAGCGTGTTGCTGCGTTGCAGTTACACCGCTCGGTGACAGCCAGCGCAGCGGGGCCCGCAGGGAGCTGCTGCACACACCATGCACGGCAGCGGCACGCTCAGCACTGCCGCTCCCTCACCGAGTCACCTCTCATTGGAGCCTGGTGATGCTCACTGCCACCATGGCTGTGCCTCGGTGCTTGGCACACACAGCAGAGAGGGGCCCCGCAGGCTGCTGACAAGACTTGGTGGTGAGCAGACCTGTCCCTGTTTGCCATACTAACAAAGTCAGCAGGGAAGGAAGCCCCCAAACCATGTTGGACAGCCAGGTGGTGCACAGGCAGGGACAAAACCAAAGTCTAGCGAGAGGGAGTCAGTTTTGTTGAGGTAGGCAAGAGGTTTTCATGTGAGGAACAATTTTAGCCTTTATGTTTATAAACTTACTGCACTGGCTTCTCAAAGATATGGTCCAGCTTCTCTCCATGGATCTGACGCCTTCTTTTCCAGCTGTGCTGTCAGCAGCACTTCCTCAGGCTGACCTGGCTTTGGCACTGGGGGAGGGTGAATTACCCAACTCCCAGGAGTCCAACAGCATCTCCCGCTGGTACCTCCTGTAAGGCAACAGAATTTGTGTTTAGGGAGGGTGGGAAACTTCCCCACTGCCTCAGTGGTGCTCCAGGATCAGAAACTGGAGAACTCTGGTTCCATGTCTAATGTGGCTGCTCACCAAACTCGGCTGTCCAAACCCAGGGGCCAGGCTGCAGCTCGGGTACTGCGCAGCAATCAGGGACTACATGGTTTTCAATAATCCTCGCTGCTGTGCAGCCCTCTCAAGCTAGGCTGCCTCCCTCCACTTCCTTGGGCAGTGTGCTCTGCCTGCTCCCTCCCTTTCCCCAAGTGCTGTCCCTCCACCGTGGATAAAGGGGGGTCAGCCAGCTGACTGGACGTGGTTAAGATTTTTCAAGGCCAAAATCAGCTTAAACGGTTCATTATCAATTATACATCAACTTAATTGGATCATTTCCTGTAGGAAGAAAATATGCTCGGTTTATGCACTGGGAATCCAGGAAGCAAACTATTAGACCTTTGAGGAGGTTGGGGGAGGAGAAATGCAGCAAGTTATCATTAAAAGAGTTATTCTGATTAAATCAGTCATCTTATTTAATCCCCTTGGATGGTCTAATCTTCAAGCTGCACTGGGTGCAAGGTTCAGAACTAACGCTGCACTATGTTTTCCATGTGATTGAGACTGAGGAGATAGTTTTGGGAATTACTGCATGTAGTTGTTAAAAGGAATCAATGGCCTGGAATAGAATGCTTTCTGCTCTACCCTTCACTGCCGTGCAGCCCTCAGTTTGACATTCTCTGACATATTACAAACCATATAATGTTCTCCTGGAGCACAGTGAGCTTGATAAGCCAGCACCGGCACTGACACGACTCCGGTTAGAGTGAGTGTGCCTGTGCCCTGTGATTGGGATGGGACTTGTCAGCCAGCCCTGCACGCCTGGCAGCTCTCTTACATAAGGGATGCTGTACAACTGGCTCCAAAGGAAGCAGTCACAGGCCCAAATGAAATCCAGACTCCTTAGTGAGAAGTTTCTTGGAGACAGATTTTTCTTACTAATTAGAAAAAAAAAATAAATAGCCCAAACAACTTTTTTTCCTGTTATGGAAAGTAACAGTTTGTCTTGATTCCTAGTTACATTACTTGGTAAGTAATGGTTTTGGGGTTGTTTTTAGTAATTTGGGGGTAAAGGTTCCGATGCTGTTAAAATACGCATCTCATGACCCGCAGTTTTGTCATCTCCATTTGCTTTCCTCAGTGGCTGCCAATGAGGTGCTGCTCAGCCTTGGTGTAATTAGAATATTCTCACTAACCTAACGCGCGCCAGGCTTGTCTCGGGTGGTGATTTTATGCAAGACCATATGTCTCAGGGATTTTTTTCACTTAGATAGGGGACAGGGTAGCAGCCTTCCCCTTCCCCTTGCTCTTTGTCCACGACGCTGCCAAGCAGTGTCAGGGAGCAGGCCGGGCTTGGCAGCGAGGTGAAGTCACAGGCACAGATGTTTGGCAGCAGGGAAAGGTAGAGCCCATTAGATATTAACTGCTGCAGTTCCTGCTCTGACTTTGTGGGAGAGAAGCACCAAAATGGTGTTTCCTTGAAAAGCATGTGTTTCATTCCAAGTCACCCTGAATTGATTGCCTTCCGTCTAGTGTGAGGTGGTCCTGCTGCCTTGTGCCTTTCTGCACAGCTCGGTGCTGGGGAGATAAATGACAGAGCTTGCTTGAACACAGCAGAGGCACGTGATGTGAAACCAACGCTAGAAGGGCTGCACTTTGGAAACAGTTGATTTCAGGGAGTTCAAGCATTAATTGCTGTATGGACAGGCTGCCTGTCCTGAGCCTAAGGTGGGCTGCGAAGGTGCTTCTCACTTAAAAAGTCTGATAAAGGTTTCTCGAGTGTAACCACAGAAATCAAGAGCTCTGCTTAAATTTCTTTGCTCTTGTAACCTACTCTAGATCTTTTTTTGTTGAAACCTAATTCTGCCATGCTATGGAGGGGTGGCACAAGTCCTATTTACATAAAGAAAACAACAGCTCATGAATGAGAAACCTGTAACAATGCCAGCCTACATACGCCTTAAATTCTTCATCACCCTCATTTCACACATGTTGATTTTACATTGCCATAAGAGTAACTGAATTCAGCACAAAAAATCCTGCTCAATGCACAGTCAGCATTTCCTTCTCTAGAACAAAACCAGTGAGTCCAGCAAACCAATTATACACCTCCTGCTTGACTTCTCTTTCCTTTTTACTGTCTTAGCAGTAGTGGAAAAAAAAAAGTTTTGAATTAAAAAGAAAAAAAAGGAAGCCGGCTGCCAGTAATACTTCTAAGTGACTCATAGAAAAACAAACCTACATGGAAACACAGGGTTAGCCCAGTCCTGATGCAGCCAGTTGGAAGGAACGAAGCAGAATAGTTTTAGGAACTAAACCAAGCACCTGGGTGAGCTCAATTGGACACAGCTCACCTACACCAGCACAGTGCTGTCTTCATCATCCATTCCTCTGAGGAGCTCCACAGCCCTGAGCTAGGATGGGGCTCCAGAAGGCATTAACTCACCAGAGAATGGCCTCGCTCAGGAGCAGTGTTCTGTAGGCTGGGACAGGTTTCCCCAGCTCTGATCTGTGCTTCTGGAGCCCATCCACATGCCCTGCTCCCCCTGTGTATACAGGAGCCCTGCTGCTGCCAACCATTTAAATAGCTGCCCCCCACACCCAGTGGCATTGCTGAGCTAAACTTGGAGCCCAAAGGTGCAGGCAGTTCCTCATCAAGAAAAGGCCCACAGCTGGCAGTCATTGAGCCTTTGCCTGCATGCACAGATCCAGCTGAGGCATGGAATGTTCAGCATAGATTTAAACACTCTTTATGTTGTTATCAGGGCACTCTCAGACATCACCTTCCATTACTGCCCCCCGCTTCTCATAAATTTATGACACTGACAGTCTGTGTGTTGCAGTGACAAGTACATGAGATAGGTACTTACCACTGTGTCTTGAAATATATATCCTGATGAGAGATGCAGCTCTTGATGAGGCTGGTTTTGTGGTTACTTGAGGGAGGAGCTTGGCACAGTACAAGAGGAAAGCACATCCTCATGGCAGGTCACACCATGAGCAGTGTTTAGTTTCTAGCTCTGTTTTCCTTACAGTTTTGCTCACCAGCTGTTCAGTATGTAGCATTCCTAGAGAAAATTACAGACCCCACATTTGGGAGGGAGAGAGGAAAGAAAAGGGGTCTCCACAGAAAGCTACTACTGCCTGTAGCTCTGAGGCTGCCATGCAGGGTGCTCTCAGGGCTGTGCTGCCATCTCTGGCTTGTGCACACTCTGCTGGGAGTGTCTGTGGACTGTGCTCCAGGGACAGGCTTTGTGCGCCGACCAGGAGATAAAGCTGCAGGGATCTTTGTGCACACACCAAGTGTGGAAGCGATCCTGTTGTGCTGGGGGTTTTGCACAAGCCTTGCAAAGATGAGCTTTTAAAGGTGAATGTTTTCTCTTCTTTAAAGACAGGTTCTGGAAATAGCAAGTTGGATACATTTGCTCTGTTACAGGATATACACTTTGCTTAGAGACTCATGCTGCCTTTCCCCAAAAATCACAGCAGCCTGATTTGTGGTCAGCTTCTGGTGAGCACTGATGCAAACAGAGGTGCAAGCTTGAATGGATCCACAGGGAGGAAAGGACACTGGTGGCCCTAGAAATCCTTAGTTGTTCAGAGTTGTTAGCATGCCAAGTCTGACCAGAATGTGTCAGCAGCTGTGTCCTTCCAGCAGTTCCTGGTTATTCTGACCTCTATCCCAGGAAGCAAATGCTTTACACAGCCATAGAGCTTCTCCAATTCTTGAAATCATTACGTGAAGAATCCAGCTGTGATAATGACCTACCCAAACCCCGTATGCAGTTTATAGTTCTGGGCAGGAACAGATGCCAGGCAAGTTATGATTTATGGTGCTGCCTGCTGCCAAAAACTTTTGAACTGCAATTGGGGCTAAGAGAAAATGAGTGAGGTTGCAAGACAAATTGACACTTAGCGTATTTTGCTAATTGTCTCTGTACGGTTGGGCTGCTCATGGCTTATTACTAGTGCATTGTTCTCACAATTACATGGAACACAACCTTCATTAGAGTCTTGGAAGGGAAAGTTGTTTGTGTAGCACTGTGCTGCCTGGTACAGCTCTGTTCCACAGCATGTGCTGAGGGAATGGCAGGCTAAATACTGAAAAACTGCAGGAGCCATCCTGCTTTGGGGTTAAACACTGAGAACTTATAAGAGACAGCAGTGAGGTTGAAAAAAAAAGTCCAGGAGAGCCAGGCCTGGTCTGTGACAGGCTATAGAGGTCCTGGAAGATCCACAAAGCACATTTTCCACAAGAAGAAATGTTGCACAAAGCAGGGGGAAGATCTCTGGCAAGGCAGAATTGATAAACAGAGGTGGAGTTTGCAGAGACCATGAGCAGTGGGGAGCTTGATGTCAGCCTGTTAGTTGGCTGTCTTTGTGCAGCGTGCTGCAGGGACATCTGCCCTTTCAGTGCTGATGTCAGAATTTGGGTGTGGGTTGTTTCTGCAGCTTGGGGCTGACAACATCCCAGTGTGCAGTCAGTTCAGACACCTGCAGGTCAGAAACAGGCAGTGTTGCTCCAACAGCTCTGGTGGGAGGAAATGTGTTAGTAATGACAAAAATGGGAGTCCACTGCTTTAAAAATGGTGAACTGAAGCTTCTGTGAGCCTTCAGGAACCTTCTAGTGGGAAGCATGTAGGACGGATGTGGATTTTAAGTACTCCTTAACAATCAGGAAAGTCTAGGAAAAATGCACTAGGTGAATAGTGAGGCCACATGGAAAAGCTGATAAAGCTTTTGGTAATGGGTAAATGGACCTGGATAAATGAACTTCCTACAACTGTTTTAGAAAGGCTTACGTGTGCTTACTTGTAAGCCACTGAAATAACCTGGAGACGGGTGGTTTAAAGCTCTACAGCCCCAGTTGGTATGGTTGTGGTGTTCTCAAAGGAGCTGGGCAGCCCAGCAGCTGATTGACAGGCAACCCTTTCAGCAAATAAAAGCTTGTTTGGGCCGGTAGGACCTGAGGTGTGCCAGTGAGTTTGCATTAAGGGTGAGTTGGCTTGTGAGTGCTCCTGGGTGTCTTGGATGCCTCTCTTATGGTACCTTCTGCTCTCAGAAGTGTCCTGAAATTATCAAATTGCTTTACTGAGAGATGCTATAGAAACTGCACAGGGTCCACTCAAGAGCCATAAGAAGGGATTTCACTGAAGGGGTGGGAGGCTGCCCTGTGTGCATCCATCCCTGCCCGGCAGCAGAGTCAGCGTGGAGCACAAGCTGCATTTGTGCCACTTGTTCTTGTGTTGGCTGCTCTAAGAACTGGCCCTAAAAAGCCCCAGGGTTTAAAACATAACATCCTTGCTTGCTGCTGCTCACGCTGTATGGCAGCAATGTAACAAGTCCTGAACGTGGAGAAGCTACAGAACCATTTCCTATGCGGTCTGTTGTGCTGCTGTTGAACGAGTGGATGTTTGGGGCATGGATTCTATGTCTCATTTTTGTACTGTCCAAGAGACTGCCTCAGAACTCCACTGCCCCTCCTGTCCCAGCAGCCACACCTTTGCTAGCAAGCTCACAGCTGTGAGCTTTACCTGATGGACTCTGCCGCAGCTGGCACCGCTCCTGCACTGCACAGGTCGCCTCAGAAGGCGAAGAACTCCCTCTAGTCTTACCACAGCTCTCCACCACTGAAGCTGCAAGACAGCAGGTCAAAGGCTGGCAGGTTTCTGCTCTATTTTGCTCTTGGGTTTGTGGGGAATTGGTTCTCTCTGGTAAAGCCAGCACTGGGAGGAGGGGGAGGGCAGGGAATGAGAGAAAAGCCTTTGTGAGCCTGGGAGCGGAGTCCTATATTTGGTGTGGACCTCTGGAGACAAAGTGGATGACATCAGTTCTCAGAATCTCTCCTTGCATGTTGTTAAAATATGGCAATTTGTCTTATAAATTTGAATTTATTTTTATGTCAGCAGAGTGCTTAACTATCCTGTCCAAGGATGGCCATATAGAGTTATTATTTCAACTTTTATTGTGGGCAGTAGGTTTCTAAATAATGACTTTGCAGCGTCTTGGATTATCCTGAACTGGAAAAGAGGGAGCACTGTATAGATTTTTGTGGAGTTTGTTTTGGTCTTGCTGACTTTGTAGCCCAGGTTTCCACAGCAGGATAGTTTAAAGTCAGTTTTAAATTCTAAAGGACAGGGGTGTGAGGGCATGTTAAATAATGCACATGGATCATAAGGAAAAACGGGTAAGATGCCTTCACGTAATTTCTCCCCAGGGGGAAAGAACTTCCTATTGGAGTGCTAGAGTGCTCTGTGCTGGCTGAAAGGAATAGCTTGTATGGAAAGGGAAAACAGATAGGAAAGAGTGAGTGGGAACAATGAGAGGTGTCAAGTTTCTGTAACTTCTTCTAAGACATGCAAATACGTTCATTTCCCCCACACAAGAAAGCAGGTGCGGCAATTGCTGTATTGAAAATATTCTCAGTTTCCCGTGGTGGTGGGCAGAATCCTTGTGAGCCAAACCGTACACAGGGCTGGTGCTCAGGACAGCTTGGACCCTGTACAGAGTGTGATGGCTTCCGTTTAACTCTGGGGAAACTCAGTTCTGAGCAATGTTTCAGTGTTGTTGAGAGGGACTGCTAAGGAGAACCCAGAACCTAAGCAGAGGTTAAGCAAAGAACTAGATTTGTGTGCTTCTGATGGGCTCCACCTGAATCCAGTTAGTCCTTGATGGGGTTTGATGTCTGCTTTTTAAGCAAACTTGATCCTTGAGGAGAGGAGCTTCTGGGGAACAGGCACATTTCTCTACCATTATCCTTTTTTATTTCCCCTCACATGTGGACTATCAAGAGGCTTTTTGAAGGATAGAAAACAACCAGACAAACTTACAAACCCAAATTTTAGTAGTTTCAGAGGTTTTTTTCACCCCAATATAAGCTTTGTTTGCAGGGGGGGGAATGGTAGAATTAGGCCACCACCCTTGCAAAGAGAAGTCTCTAAACAGTGCAGCTCACTTAAGCTAAGCAAAGGATGGCAGTAATAAAAATTATGAAAAATTATTGTCAAAGCAATTATTTCTAGGAGCAGTACTAGCATCTGGTATTTTCTGCTTTAGCCAAGAGCATGCATGAAAATGGATTCCATGCAGGAGATCAGTGTATTCTGACCTCTATTGAAATTTGGTTTTGTTCATGATTTGTGATCATTTTATCTACACTGTATTTCAGCTCAGTTGGGGTTGTTGTGTCTGCCCCTCCCAGTTTGTTCTTAAATTCAAAGGTAGTTAAATATATCCAGGTAGGATTTTCCTGATTTATATTGCATTTGGAAGCACAGTGTTAGAAAATTCACCCTGGGATGTAATGAAACTAGAGAACTACTGCTTTGCAAGGGAAGTCAGGTCCTGTCCCAGACTGTCTTCTCCTGTCCCCAGCCTCCAGGCATACCATTGACCCTTCCTCAGACACTGGGCAAATGGGGCCAGGACAGGGCTTGGAAGGTTCCCCCTCTAAAAACAAAATTACTGAATTCTGTGCTGCCTGCTGGATCTGTGCTTCACATAAAGCTGGCCTCTAGTCTCAGCTTCACTTGAGCTATTTGTCTGATTCTTCAGTGAAAACAACTGAACATGCTTTTGCAGCAAAGGAATAAAATGCTATACAAAATATTCCCCAGCCCCCAAACCAGCCATGGATAACTTCTCTCCACACTGCAATAAAGGCTGAAGCCCTTTTTTGGAAGCAAGATCCTTGGCTAATACGAACTGCTTGGCTTGCACTGAACTCCGGGCTACATTCTTTCCTAAGATCTCTGTTGCTGTGTCTCATCCAAATGCACGCGCCTGCGACGTCTCCATTTTTTAAAATACCACTTAATATTTAACACGGGTTTTAAAGCACTAAAAAATCAATGCGTGCACAACAGTTTGTGGGGAGAGAGGCAATATTGGAAGTGTTCAGTGAGGCAAGGTGCACTCTTTCTTGGAGCTTGGCATGCTTCTTGTCAAATCAGTGCCTACATGATTGTTTCTGCTGGGCCTGGATGTGTAGCAACATGAACCACTGGGAAACACCAACAGAGTGCAAGGAATCCTACTGAGCAGAAGGCAGGAGTTAAGAGAGACATAGCTAGGAAGTCAGGGCAGCTCAGCAGCAGGCATACACCTGGCAAGTGGAGCTAGAGAGGGGACAGTAACAGGACTCTCTGCTGTGCACGTGATCGCAGGGACCTGAACCGATGCCATGGAATGTTTACGAATGCCTGCTAAAATACCACTCAGAACAGGAGAGCAGAAGTGAGATCCCTGTGCAGCGGCAGGCAGTGCGGTCAGGAGCGCCGCTGTCGCTGTGCCTCTCTGCGCAGGGCAAGGTGCCAGCACTGGCAATGACTATTGTGTGCTTGGCTTGACCAGGCTTCATTGTTGGAGGACTGCTTTTGACTGGGTTAGGTTTTGGATCAGGCTCCTTATGATTAATTCTTGGCTTAAACATTAGGATTGGGATTCATGGAAAATCAGGTTAGGGATCTGGACATCATTATATTTTAAAGGCTCTCTGGAATTTAACAAACTAATCTAAGCCTTAGGAACTCCTAGACTTGACTGTGCAGGAGCTGCACATGCTCAAGGCAGTGTCCTACAAAGTCAGACTTAGCAAACCAAACCTGTAGCTGTATGTGCATTCTAGGGAAAAGCATTTGTTTGAAACTTAGATTGCTCTTTGAAATAGTGCTATGAAACGTATTTGTGATTATTTCTTCCTTTCCAATAGGTTTTGAAAAAATCGTGCACTGAGATTTTATATTTGGAGCCATCCAGTGTCTGTGTAGGAGGTAAAGTTTTATAATTTTTAAATACTATACAATTATCGTAGAACTGTGGTTTCCCCCTGTTTTATCCAAAGGAAAACTGCATGTCTCTAGAATAAAGCATCTCTAACTTAAGTCCACAAGAAGTTAGAGAAACATGAGATTTCTCTGTTGCCTTCTTGTTCTCCTCAGGGGAGCTGACCACCAGGGCCTGCTCCATAGCTTGGGTAGTGCACGTGGAAGTTGGAGAGCATTTACCTGCCCCTCTCCCCTGAGTGTGCTCTGCACTTGTGTCAGATCTGCCCCAAAATCTGTGGAGTGTGAGAACAAAGCACATGACTGCATTTTTGGGCAGCAAGAGAAATATATTAATGAAATAGAAGAGTTGCACAAAATTTTAAGGCCTTGTCTTCTTTCTGAGCTTCATAATCCACAAATAGTTGGAGAGCAATCAAAAGAAGGTAGTTGCAAAACGTTACTTGGATATTTTTGTGAAAATGTGGATGCTCTGGATGAAGTCAGTGCCCCTGATAAAAAAAAATGGTTTTCACTCCTCCTCTGCACAGCTCACAGATAGCGTGGCCCTTAGGCAGCTTGCAGAGAAATAGTACTAAAGAGAAATGTTTTCTTCATCTGGTACTTCAAGTGAGCCTGAACAGAACAAGAATCCCCAATCCCCTGGGTTTGGGGATTCTTGTTCTGAATCCCCTGTTTCTCATTTCTCATTCACTGACAAACTGTGTCTTACTGCAGCTGAGCCCCGGATCATACTGATAGCCTAAATTTCAGAGGGCTGTCTCAAGAAAGATTTGTGAACAAATCTTACCTTTGCTGATTTATAAGGAGAATTCGGTACCAGGGTTCAGGAAAAAAGGAGATCTCACTAAGCATTACTATGTTGTGCTTTGTTTATTGTAGACTAAATGAGATTGCTGTGGTCTAATGTAACTTACTGCAGTTTGGTGATTTTGTGTATTTGCTTTCCCCTCCAGAGGAGTTCCAGGTTGTCCTCAGAGGAAGTGGCTTAACCCTTGGTGGGAGAAACGACAGTGTGACTTGTACCTATCAAGTGAACGGAACGACAATCCGTAAGTGTGGACATCTGCCTGCGTAGCCCTGTAGTTACCTCAGCTCATGAAAATTCAGAGAGAAAAATAGCGAAAAGGAGGAAAGCTTGGAGGATTAGTAAAGGGAGGAAAGTTGTTTCACACTCTGCTCAGTGGTTTCAGTTTGCTAGCAGGTGCCTTGAGCTGTGAGCAGTGTTGGCAGCCCCCTCGCTGTGGGCATTAGCATAGTGAGAACTGTTTGGCTCCTGACGTTTGGGCAAGCAGATGTTTGCTGATGAACCAACCCGTGGCTGCAGTGTACTGACTGAGGTCCCTTTCTGCACGATAATCCTGGCCAAGACATCTCACTGCAATTCCCAGAGGCACTTACCTTGTTTTTTGCAAGGTCTCTGCCAGTCTTGGGTGGTGTGCCAGGTGTGCTGTGGGTTTCAGGGGCAGGTCAGTCCTCCTCCTGCATAGAAAAAGGCCAGGTCAGAGCAGTGGTCTATTTGTCATGGTCCATGAGCTCTGTCTGCCCAGCATCAGGGTTTACTGCACAAAGCGATTCTGTTTCAGATTGTGACCATGACACCTTGTACTGGCACTTTCCTCTAGCTCATATGTGAGTTTGCTTTTTCTATCCAGAAGCTCAAATGGATGGCTAGGGTAAGTACATCCAACTTCTAGATCTAAACAGAATTCCACAGAAGCCAGCTAGACTGGAAAAAAAAAAACCAAAAAAGAAGTTCAAGGAAAAAGTACAACTGATTTTCTCCCTGCCTAGTGTCTGATTTCTGTATTAGCCTGTCTTAAATTCCTACACAATTGAATTTGGGTTTCCAGTGCAGTTTCTTCCTTAGCCTGGAGATTGTATATACTGGAGTGGGCTGCCAGTTTCTCCTGCCTGTTAAATACCTACAATAATTTGGCAGAATAACAGGATAACCCAGTAGTTCTGGATGCAGGCAGCCTGTGTAAGTCAATTCCGCTTGTATAAATTTCCCTTCAGTTTCCATTACAATTGTCACCTCTGCTTCCCATTGCCCACAAACACTTGCTACCATCTGATGTGAGAATTGCCAACTACAGCTCTGGGCTGCTTGTTTTTTCTTGGCTTCAGAAAGGGGTGTGCTGAAGCACATGAGGGTAGGGGAATGGCACAGTGATGTATTGATTATAAAAACACAATCTGCTCTATGGGGTCTTGCCAGGGCCTTCTACATCCCCCCCAGTCCATGTCTTCAGCAATGGACAACAGCGAGAGGCTGGGGAGTAGTACAGGCAGAAAGCAAGGACATTTCAAGTGGTCCCTCCTGCAGTACACAGGGTCATTGTCCACAGCTCTCTGCTGGATTCTGACTGCCTGCTTCAGAGGATGCCTAGAGGGGGCCAGTGGAGCCAGGATGAGCAGGAAGACAGGGAGGGCGCTTGGAGCAGTAGCAGGAGGAGGGAGATGGTCCCAAGAGAAGGACAACCTTCCCCGTGTCATTGCAGTCCCCTCTACAGAAGACTGGCAGTCCCTCTGCAGAACCCTCAGTATGTGAGGGCACTTGGGTGAGGATGTGCTGGTGTTGGAGTTCCCCTCACTGAGAGCCTGGCCTCTCTTTGGGACCAGCTTCTGAGCACACCCTCACTGTGTCAGCTCCCCTGCTTTTAAAGGATGCATTTGGCATCTTTCTCCTTCTGCATTTATAAAGAACCATTACCAAATGCTAGAAAGGAAACCTGCCAAATGGAGCTGTGGGATAGAAAAATAATCTATGAAACATACCATTAAGACAAAAACATATGGCAATGTGCTAATCCCTCTTCCCCACCTCACAACTAGCCCCAAATCTAGGCCAAGCAGTCAGTGCAGATTATAGCACATATGAAAAGCTCATTTATGCCAACAGCTCCTCCTTCAGCTGCCCCTGAACTGCTTGTCTGTCTGCCTGTTCCTGAAATACAGGACAGAGTCATCTCCAAGTTGATCTGGCAGATCACTTTCTGCTCTCACCCCACAGTCAGGAAATAGTCCTTGCACAGAAATCATTAGTCCTGCAGTGGGGAAGTTCAGGCTGATGGTTCTGCACACAGAAACTGAATTTTCCCCAGCTTAGCAGACACATGAGGCAAAAAAAGCTCCATCCTCCCCTCCTCACATCTGCCGAACAGAAATGCTGTACTGGACACAAGGCTCTACAAATAAATGCTTCATGTGCTCTAGAGATAGGTGCTTTCTAAGCGTAAGAGGTTTGCAAAGCACACAGACTCAAAAGCAGAGGAAACACTGGAGAAAAACACACTCAAGTCACAGCTAATAAAACAGTCCTGCAATGCAATGCACGGGGATGGAGCCAACTACAAACAAACCTTCATCTTCCAACTACCAGGAAACTGCTAATAGTGTTCTCACTCTCCACAAAGACAGTGTCAGTTCTAGGAAGTGTTCTCTCTGGAAGAGCATGAGCTGACTCGAGTAGCTCCAATAACTATAACGTGGGCTCACCTGGCATTTACAGCCAGCTCTGGGGCTCTGTGTTCTTACCTTGGGCCTGCCTTGCTGCCAATTTCAGCCAGGACAGACCAGTAGGGAGCATGGGAATGGAGGCACCTCACAGCAGCATGGCTGTTCACATGGCAGCTCCACACCTAAGCTGCACAGCATAGTAAGCTCATGTGATTTTTGTTTTTCAGATGAAAGGCCTAAAACAGTACAATCTGATTTTTTGCTCTGCCCTGCACCGATCCTGTACAAAAGTGGCCAGTAAGTACTGAACCAAATGCCAGCCCATGTTTTGCTGGAATTTGGCACCATTATAGCTGACATTAACTGGGAGGGGTTTGGCTGAAGGCAATATTTTGTTGCTTTTACGGAGGGTGGTTTGTTGTTGCATTTTTTCTCCCCTTCTTGTGTTATTTCCCTGGTGTATATGCCAGATTTGGAGTGGACTTTGAGTAGTCATCTGTGACCAAACCCATTTGGACAGTGCCTTAAAAATGAATATTCAGCCAGTTTATGAGATACTGAAAAGATCTGGCTTGTTGTAAATTCTATGCAGATTAGCTGTTTTAACATGCTCTCATCCAGATCCTCTTCAGGCCCACTGTTACAGAGATGACATTATCACTGACACTTACAAGCTATTATTAAAATTAGGTGTCAGGACATGTACCCCTGCTCCACACATCCTGATCCAGTGAGTTAACAGCTCCAGCACTGGGGCTAAACTGCAGCTCTGGCCTTATTCTCAGTGTCACCGGCCAGGGCTGCACATTACTTCTGGCCCTTGGAGAACTAATCCTTCCCTCCTCCTGTCCAACTCAAAGGTGCCTCAGGGCCTTATGATCACTTGGACTTCACTGTGCACATTTCTGAAGACCCTAAGCTAATCTGAAGTCTGAAAACTGCACATCAGATCTGGGTGCTGTGGGAGGGCCAAGGCTTTGGCTGTTGGCTTCCTGCCTGCTTACCAAGTAGTTATTCCCAGAGACTTACTAGGCATGAGGCTAATGCTAATCCAGTGGGAAGCACAGCAGTTCTGCACTGGCCTTTATGTTTGGCAGTTCAGGAGCTGAAGAGGTAAGCACGATGTATGGATGACTGGTCTGTAGTTACATTTCTGACTTGAGCAACAATCAGCCGCCCCAGTTGTGCTGTCAGATGGAGAGCAAAGCTCCAGAAGCACATCTGGTTTGTGTGTTGAACAGCAGGCTGGGGGAGGGAAGCTGGAAAGAAGGAAGAACGTTCAGTGCTTGACCCCAGTGGGGCGGCTCGGGCCAGAGGGTTTGCCTCCTGAGCTGTGTCACGGCTGGCAGGGACAACAAGCACCGAGCAGAGCTGCATGCAGAGGGAGGGTGAGGGATTCAGTACTGATGTGTTTCCTGATGTTGCTTTTCACATGGCTGTGTGACAAATGCATCTTGTGCCACGTGCAGCAGGGTGTCAGATCCCTGTGCATCCCACAGTGCAGCAGCTCTTCAGCTTCTGGCTCAGCTAAAACCAGTCAGCACCACCACAGCTGTAAGGGAACTGATTTTGTCGTCAGGACAATGTCAGTTAGTTGGGTTTAAACCCCTCCTCCCCAAGCCAGGTATTTTAGTGCATTTACTGTACAATAGAAGAGCAGTAGCAAATTACATACACTCCCAGTATGAAGCATACATTACACACAGTCCCAGTATGAAGCTCCCTAAAACCTGATGCTGTAAAGGCTTTTCCACACACAGTTTGTCCCAGAGTACATACTCAGCCAGTCCTGCCAAAGGCATGTGAAGTGCACTACATATTTGTAAAGGTTAAAGCTGTGCAAGTTAGTTGCACATGTTGCATTTTCCCTTACACTGTGGAGTGGTACTGAACGAGACAGCTGCCACCCTGGAATTGCAGTGTGGAACTGCACCTCAGCACAATACAGTCGGATTGCAGAAAAACACCTTTTCCCAAGTTAGCATGTGAAACACAGTTCCCTGACATCCTATTGAAGGAGTTGGAGCTCTGGCCCAGAGCTGAGCAGTTTACTGTGCAGAAGACTGACAGCTACGAAAGATATGTACGTACTTGAACTCTTAACTTCCCATTGGCACAGCCTAGACTAGTGCTGGATATCTCCCAGTAATTCCTCATGTAGTGGAGCTAATATTAGTCACTAATGTAGCAACAACCGCTCTGTTCTTTTCTAGTGCTCTTTTGGGTGGAATTAAGGGAACACAAGCAGCCTAAGTTACCTTGCTGTGTGACTTTTAAACCCACAGTTTAGTTTCCGGGTGAACAGTCAAGACTCATGTAACAGGTTTCATCATATCTTTTCCGAATCAGAGACACTTCTTGTTGCCTGATGAATTAGCAGTTTTCACATGCAGAGCAATGCTATGCTGTGTGAAATAGATAAAATGCCAAAGTATTCAGGATGTTGTGTTGGTGAGCCCCTGCTCTCCTGGAATTTGGCCATGGTGTGTTTCTGCTTCCTTCCCAGCTGTTGGCTGCATTGAGTCTGGAGCTTCCCAAGTGCCAGCTGTAGATTAAACCAAGCATTTTTTTCAGTCTGCTTTTCCACAGTACCCTGTAGCAGATGGATGTATCATCCTTAGATTGGGTGACAACATGACTGTGCTGTCTGTGCCATTTAAAATCCCTTCTTGTCATGCTGCTTCTAAAGTGCAAAATTCCCTAGTCTGCTTACAAACCCAGCCCACTTACAAGGCTCCTGATCAGCTAACAGCTGACAATTATTCACAATTTTCACACAAGCAACCCATGCCGTATAAAACAAGTTACGAATTTGAAATAAAGCAGAAAGGGAAAGTACACATACACCTGGCAAGAAGGTGAGGAGGCTAACCCAGGTTGAATTGCTTTGAGAGATCATCTATGCGCTGTGATGGCAGGTGTAACAACACAGTCAAGCTGGTTAGTAAACAGGACTCTGATACTGCTGCACTGCCCATTTAAAAGTCACATTTTGAGGGTCTCAGAATATTTGAGAAAATCAGTTTCCTTTTTTAGCAGAGACTTGGATTGGTTGTCCTGCCACAGCTTGAGGGAATCAAACCAAGCCAGAGGCGGCTGTGACGTCTCCATTACTGTACATATTTCTGTTGCCATTGTGCCTCGGAAGACAATCAGAGCCCTTGTCTCTTTCAAGAGACTTCTAGTGATCACTGGCCCTGAACACTAGTACAGGAAAAACAGTGCTATTTTACAAGTCTGCTAGTTTCCTTGCTAGTTTCACTTCTGCTCTCTCACTGCCTAAGTTCTGTGCGTTTGCATTCAGAACAATCTGTCTGTAGGCTTGGCTTCACCTGCAGCTGGCTTCTGCTCTGTTGAGCCATTGGTGAAACTCCCTGTGCCTTGCATGGAACACCAGTGGGAAAACAGCATTTCTTACACTGCCTGAACACTTACAAATTTGCTTTTATTAGGTGAGTGGATGACAGTAACTACAGTTCAAACTAGTGCAAGGAAACATTGCTTTACTGAAATGCTTCTACTGAATAGTTGTGTGACTACTACTTATCTCAGTCTATTTAAACTCTCATTTCTCACTAGAATATCGCAGTAACATTTTGGATCTGACGGTGCCTACTGCAAACATCCAGTCTTGTGCAGACTCTCCTCTAAGGCAGGAAAGGATGGATGTAGGCCAGGCAGTGGATTATTCAAACTGAACCAACAGGCTGAGGAATTGTCATTGTTCTTAAAATAGTTCAGGGAACTACAGAAGGCTGTTTTTTCATGCAGCTGCAGTGCTGGCCAGCTTCCATCTTTGTGCATCCTGCACTTGAACTCAGGTTTTGCTAGGACAGAAGAACGCAGCGTCCTTCTCCTTGGGCTCAGAATCTTAAGGAATAACAGAGCCAAAAAAGGAAAATCCCAGCCTAAACCTGAGTCTAAGTGAAACTTCTCTCACAGGTACCTCGGCTTGATGAGCAGCTTGCGTGCCAAGGTGGGACAGTCCACACTGCTGCTATTAGTGACCTTATTTGCCCTCTATTCAAACACTGCTGTCTTCAGCTTCCATTTATGGCTTCCTACATCCTGTCCAACACAAACAGCTGGTGGCACTTAACGAGTGAAGATGCAATAGGAATTATTTGCTGGGTGGTAGGAAGGAAAGTGACTACGGTATTGCCAAATTCTTGGTTACCTGCAGCTTCCAAGGAGCTGATGGAGTCTGGGGCGGCTCACTTGGCACAAAGCACACAGCAATGCAGGAGGCAATCTGTTACCCATCACATGCCTCACATTCAGCTCTAGGGGCTCTAGGGTTTCTAGGTGCAACATGTTTCCATGGCAGTGGAACAGGGGTACCTTGAATCTTGCTTTCCATTTTCTAAGTGTCATTTTTATTAATACCAGCACCAGCTGTAAGGGGAAGAGTATGGACACATGAAAACAAACAGACACGGAGGTGAATGGATTGTGGGCTCCATCCTTCAGATTACCTCACTGGGTTTCTAGACAGCTGTCCCTTTGGAGAGCAGCTGGAAGGTGCTCTATGGAGTGTTTGTCATAGTGCAGGCTCCTATCCAGGGATCATGACTGTTCCCGCTACCCAAAGGTAGATCCTCTTCTGCCTTGACTTCATTCACTGCTGCCTGTGACCTGGGAGCCAGGAACTGACCAGCTGCTTTTGTGTCTTGTATTCCGGGGAACCATAGCCCATTCCCTTGGGACAGTGCTGGTCCCAAATTCATGGTGCAGGCAGGATGCCAAGCAAGTGCTTGCACCTCCAGGCACATACCCAGTACATGCAGTAGCAGGGAAGCCAGTCTTTGCACATTTGATTTAACTATACCAAGAAATAATTTTTTCCACTGTTACTTCTCTTTTCTTCCCCATCAGCTGCAGCCTCAAGTCTCTTTGCTTTTTCCCCTGTGCCACTGTGCTGGCAGCATGGCTAGGTGCTCAGCTGAGGCATTACCTGTGCACTCCAGCATTCATTAGGACCATGTGAACCCCTTTCACAAATTTATTTCTTGCTGCAGCTCCTCTGTGGAATTTGTAGTTTTCCCCTTCTGTTTCCTGTGCTTGATAAAGGCAGTCAGGAGGTAAAAGCAATGTTGAAGAAGTGATGCTTTGTAAGGTGACTGATGGTGAATATGTTTGCCTAATTAACTTGTGGCTAATAATTCTAAGCCATTAAGTAGCTAGTTAGTACATGCCTCAAATAAACACATCTGGTGCTGCCCTGAGTGGAGGTTGTGGCTGTGTGTGGGTGACAGATGTGCAGTTTCCCCAGCGCTCCCTTTTCCATGCTGAGCAGCACGGCAGTGCCGCAGCTGGAGCCAGGCAGCCTCGCAGCAGCTGCGCGCTCCCCGAGCGGCCCCAGGGACTTGTGCCTCCTCTCCTCAGCTGCCCAGCCACTGCAGCCTGCTCTGGTGCCTCAGAGCTGGCGTGCAGCTCCAAGGAACACCCTTCTCAATAGCTTAGAGGCTCCTGCCTTCTGGGCTGGAAGGCAGCAGGAAAAGGGGATAAAATGTCAGGCCACCCAAGGAGCAGAGCTCAGCATTGCCTAGCCCTGCAGATTGATCTCTTGCTGAACAGCACGTATTGGGAATGATCACGCCTTGCTGTGTCGCTGCCTGGAATGCTAGGCTGGACTTGGAACAACCTTCCAGGGAGGGAAGAGTCCTCCTGTGGAGGACAAAAGCCTACTCCTTTCTATGGGCAGTTACTTCCTAGGGTGGCAGAGCTCATAACTCTCATCAGTCTTAGAGGTGAGAATAGCTAGGATGAGCTCCATGCAGGAAAGACCCTTTCTTCCACCTTGGCTTTTGCCTGGTTTTTCAGGTCTTGGCTTTTTGTGGTGGGGCTGTTTAAACTTGGGTGTTTTCCAGACAGAGGAAGGAGTTACAGCAATGAAATAAACAAACAGCAGAATATTTTGCAAGAGGCTAGTTTGCCAGAAATTACGTTTTAAAAGTGAGACTTAAGTTCTGAGTTACCAAGGGGCAAGTTAAGGCTTATTCCTAGTTCTGAGGGCACATGAATCCTCCTTACACTGTAACTGCCCCATATTGTCCCACACAAGCTGTCATTAGAGCCAGAGCTGCAGGCCCAGCCCATGACCTCTGTTTTGTCAGACACCAACAATAGCACAGCTGCCCCTGCCTGGCTGGGATCTCAGACCTGCCATTTGGCACGAGGAACAGAGCAAATTGGATAAATACCCATAAACACATTGGGAAGGGAGGGAAAACAGAACAGAATGAACCAGAGCAGCAACCCACAACTTGTTTGATAGGGATGATTTAAGTAGGCATATGGTATAGTTAAATGTGCTTTCAAAAACATTGGCCTGATTCTTCAAGCAAACACAAAATAAATATCTGAATAGCATGCGAGCCGATCCAGCAGCATTAGTGCTCTCAGAGGACACACTCGAGTGCTCGGGCTGACACACTGACATTCCCACACCAAGTCAGTGCCTCATGTTAGCATGGCACAGTTGTACCTCCCTCTAACACTGCAAGCCTCAAAAGCAAGCAGGCCACGAGCTCGTAATTACACCTGACCTAGCAGCCAGTGCCACACCTTGCTGGCCCAGAACAGCTCAGCCACACCTCTCACAGCTGGATTCATCCAGCAGTCCCACTGCCCTCACACACACCCAGCTCTGGAACTCTCTGGGTGCTCACCTGACACCCCTCTGCAACATCGGGTTACTTGGTACCTCAGGCACCACCTGCAGGTTACACTTCATCTTTGGCTCACCGTGCTCTACCAGATGGACAAACAGACAACAGCAGTAACCTGAGACAGTCTATCTTACCACAAAGTCCAAACTCACACTTAAAAGATGCCCCTGACAACCCCCCGAGGTGTTTCTCCCACAGAAGCTGCCCACAAATACCGAAGTACACAAATCCCTGTGATTTCCAGTGCACACAGGCACACACACACACACCTGTTTAGTCAGACAAGCCCAGAACTTGGTCCGGGTCATGGAATTGTGCAAGACACCCCTTTGCCTGTCTGAATGGGTGCTGAGAAAGGTGTGTGGAAATTATGCGAGTTTTCTGATAACATGGAGGTGAATAGCTGAAAACCAGAGGGAGGAGAGCTGTTGCTTACTATGGCTACCTTTACTACTGTTATTTTTGTTTTGTCACTTTTTCTTCCTCTGCTGAGAAAGGTAAAAATTTAGAAAAGCTGTTGTCAGCAAAGGCAGACAGAGTGTTTGCAAGCTGCAGCTCAGTCTCACATGTCTTTCAGGGTCACTCAAGAAAGGATTAATATGCTGTGGCTGTGTTGAGCATTTCTGTTCTCTCTCTAAGTGACACTGATCTCTTTCTGTAGTGCTGTTCACTAAGTAGCCTTAGCAGAGCCTTGTGGCAATGCAGACAGGGGTGTCATTTGGCCACAGAGCTGAATTACTCACTAATGTATGGGGCAGTGCTTGTGCTGAGTGCTGAGCCACTCGAGAGCTTGGCAGCTGGTGTCAGCATGCAAGTGTGGGTTAAAGGACCAATTTGCCAGGCCTCATCCTCAGTCTGAAACCTGCATGGTGACTACATATCACTTGGAAAAAAACATTGTTCAGAGACAAGGGGACCAATTAAAATGAGAATTCGGTAAGACTAGCAAGTTAAGAGGCAGGATGTTGACTAAAATATTTCCCATTCCACATAACACCGCTCACTAGCGTGAAAAGGCAAAAGCACAAAGAGCCCAGTTACCTCTCAGAGGCCAGCTGTCCTTTGAGATGCATCAAATGGAGGCAAGCAGGTAGCCTGCTGCTGCTGCAGGAGATCCCAGCCCCCAGGATGAACTCTGGGCTCTCTCAGCTGCTCAGTCCTCTTCCAGCCTTGCCAGCAACTCTCTGATGTAGGAGATGCAGCCATTTCCAGCACCAGCCAAAGAGGAAGCACCCTCTGTTTCTCCCTTTTGACTTCCTGCTGCTCAGCAATTGGTAGGATGCTAGCTGCAGGTCAGGCTGTTTTCACCTGTTCACTGTTGTTTTCACCATTGCAGAGCCCCTCAGGGTGCTCAGGTGAAGGCAATACCCCCCCACTGCTGCTGTGCCCTGGCCAGTCCAGACCTGGGCAGGATATTGGCATTACCCTCATTGCAAACAGCCGGGCTTCCCTGTGCCCAAAGGGGTCAGAACTGCTCCACCTGCACCGATTCTTCCTGTTGCAAACTCACTGAGGTGAAGTGTTTAATGTAGGCACATTAAACATTAGAGTTAGAGTGTATTTCCCTACACAACGTTTTATTCCAACATAAATAAAAGACAGTATGGTTCCCAGTGTCTGGTGGTCCCATGGGACATGGTTCTCATGTGTCTGGTGCTCAATGGGACAACCTGCTCCCTCCAAAATAGCCAGAGAAATCAACTCAGGTGGGGGGAAGCCAGAAATATGGCTGGAGTAGGCTTAATGTCTGTCATAAATATTAATTTCTGAAAATATTTTAGAAATACATTTAGTCTGACACAATTAGGATATGATGGGACCTATTCACAGATGGAAATATCCTCAATGAATTGTACAGGCTAACAGGCCCCTCAGCTATATGGACGTGGTGTTAAGATCAGTAGTAATTTCTGGTGCAGTCCTTCATGTCCCTCCTAGGGCACACAGTGTTCCCAGAGCATTAGCGAGGACTGCGTGAGCAGAACTAAGTGCTGCACATCGTGCAGTGGCCATAGGATCCTGAGCTGAATTAATAGCCTGCTTTAACAGAATGATGACTTCTCATACCCTGCTACTGCGGGTTCCCATGATTCCACAAGATCAGAGTAGTTCCTTACTGGCTTCCCCCACAGTGCGTGAATTCTCTCACATTCCCTAGGAGTTCCCAGCAGTGAAAGTTTGTGTCCTGTTCCTTGGAAAGTCAAGCCCAGACAGACAGCATATTGGACATGTGGCTGGAAAAGCTAGAGGGTTCCGAGGTAACAACAGGGAGTCCTAAAGAGCCATCATGTGAATTTCTATCAGTGCTAAGCTACACCAAGAAGGGCAGGGGAACAAGTTTGTACTAATTCTTTACCAGAATCCCCAAACACCATAATGAATTCCAGGATGAGCAGGTCTCGCTGTTCTCAGGAAAAGAGTGCTCCTTTTTATGCCTGCGTGGCTGATGGGAGGAAGACACCTCTGACCACTTCTAACTGTCCCATGTCCTGTCCCCAGCACAGTTCCCACTGAGTGAATGGTCCCGGGGCTCCCCAGGCACAGCTGGCCTGTGGCATAGTGGCACTGCACCAAACAGGACAGGCAGGGCTGGAACCCTGCTCCAGGAGAGCTGTCCCTGTCCTTGTGCAGCTGGGGCTGTGGGTCTGTGAAGAGCACCACACCCAGAAGCCCACACGGGAAATCCCTTCCTGGGTGTGTTGCCCCCTCCTGAGGCAGGGATGAGTCCCTGGATGCAGAGCCATCTTTGTGGTCCAGGAGTGTTTGTTAGCAGAGCCCAGGGAGTGAGTCCTCTGTGCTTGGGTCAGAGAGAACAGAGGGGTAAATGTTAATTGCACCCCAGCAAGCAGTGCCCAAAGACATCAGAGTGAGGTTGATCAGATGGAGCCCGTATTATAAAGCTATCCATTTATTTCATGAAGGCAGTGTTGGAAGGGAAAGTGCCCTTAAAATACACAGAACTATTTTTTGCCTTCCTCCTGTGTACAGCATTTTTGCTGTTTGAGTGCAGGCATTTGATTCTGAACTACCTTTGTCACCGTAATTTTAGTAACTTTTTGAGCAGTTGCCAGTTTCATTTTCAGTGCGTGAAAATTGGAGGTAAATTATTTATTACTTCCAGCAAATGTCTTTCACAATTGTATTTAATTTTTTCATCTCTTTTAATGGGTCATAAAATGGCAGTCTTTTAGTAGCTTCCCATAAAGTAAGGAGCAAATGAATACTTTGCAAATAGGTTACCGTGGATGGAAACGTCAGCTGTATTTCACAGGGAATGGGAGGCTTTAGACCAGAGCTGCAGGGACATATGGCGCTGGGCCACATCCCTCTGCTGTCACAATAAACCAGCAGTGGGCATGAGGGAAGGAATTGCAACTGTTTGGTCTCCTCAAGTTACATTTTTGGGTAAGTTGTGTATTAGCATGGGCAGTGGGCCAGGACCGACGCAGCTTCAAGTCACAAGAGTCTTGTGGTTACCTTTGGTCAGAAATCAGAACATTTTTAAAAAGCTCTTTTCAGACTTAAGTTTTCCAGGATTGGTTCCCATCCAAAAAGTGATATTGCACAGACAAAGGATAGGAAAATCCCTTCCACATGGAGGAAGGGCCGTGAACTGTAAATGAAAGGCAGTTTTCCCTAGTACAGTGAGGCAGGTTTGAAGTACAGGCTGTACAGGTGCACATGTTAGGGCTGAGGTGGAGGCAGAGCCGTGGGGTTTGTGCTGCTGTGCCAGCTCTCTGATTCCACCTCCCTCAGGTGTGGTGTCAGGAGGGAGCAGAGGATGGGAATGAGCATCCTGCCTCAAAGTCCTGGAAAGCCACTGTCTGTGGGCACTGCTGGGTTTGTGAGGAAGTGTGAGCAGGGCTCCCCTGCCTTTCCCTGGAGCCTGGCCCTGCGGCCCTGTGTGTCCAGCTGCACGGGGAGGAGCTGCTCAGCTCTGCGTGTTCCAGGTGCCAGGCTGCAGGATGGTGCTGCGGGGGGCTGCAGCAACAACACTGCCCAACTCTTGAGGGGGTTTATTTGAGGAGCCCTGAGGAGATATCCCACTCTGGGCAGTGTTCCAGAGCTCAGCCCTCAGCTGGGATCTGTGCTGGTACAAAACTAGTACAGCCTCACCCTTCTCTGGTGAACCGGGGCTGTGCCCAAGGGCTGTGTCCCTGGCTGCAGGGACAGGAATGTCTCTTGACTGGACTGTTCTGAGCTCCACTGGAGGGACTCGGCCCTCGCACAGCAGTGACAGTCACCAGTGGGAAATGCAGGGGCCCGAGAAATGGGATTGCTGCCGCTTGTCATTTTCATCTCAGAATATTTTCAGTTTCGGCAGAATGCGGAGCTGAAAGCCTCACACACGTGGCCAGTTGCTGGTAAACACTGGGGTGTGTTTGTGTACGCGTCTGTCCTGAGCTGTGTGTGAAGGAGTAGCAGAAACAGGACACCTCTTTCTGGGACTCCGGTTTAAGGGGCAATGTTTGTACGAATCACAAGTACCCACAGCCAGCAAACAGGTGGCTGCTCAAGAAATGAAAGGACGTACTGGGTATCCCCAAGAGCCATGACAGTCTCAGGGAAGGAGTGCTTTTGTGTGTTGACAGGTTCATCCTTTTGAAGATGAGGTAATTATCTGTGTGAGTTCACTCTGTGGCTCCCAGAACGGAGCGGGTATGATCAGCTCCAGTGACATCTCCAGTGGCTCATCCCTGCAGTGGTGTATCAGGGCTGCCGTCCTGCAGCGTGTCCATGCTGGAGCTGATTGCTCAGTGAGCCTGCTCCCTGGGATCTGTCAGCGTGCCCACAGCGGGAGCAGGGCCGCAGAGCTGCGGGCACAGCGTGGCACAGGGCACCGGGGCTGGGCAGTGCAGTCCCAGTGGTGCCTATTACAGCTGGGCACGGTTACTGTGTTGCAAACAGCGAGGTGAACAGTGGGCTCCAGCCCGCTGGGGAATCCCTGTGTTACACAGAAGTGTCACACAACCCAGTGAGCTCAAGGACATGTCAAGGTCCCCAGGATGCCAGGGAATGATCCTTTGCTTTAGTGTGGCTTACATGTTTTATCAAGGTGTGTTTCGTGTCCCTGTGTTGCTCCATTTGCTAGCAAAGACCATCTACTAAAACAGCCTCATTCTTCACTAGTGGCATTCCAGGCAGGATTCAGAGGGCTGCCAGGGCACACAGGGCTGCTGGGGCAGCTGCAGGAGTGTGTGAGCAGCTCAGCCTGGGGGTCCTCCTCTCCCCCAGAGGAGGCAGGAAACCCTCCTGCCCTGAAGTTCCAGGAGTGTTTGGCCAAACCTGAGCACAATCTCCATGCTGGAATTTCCCCCAGCACTCCTGATTACAATGCCAAAACAAGCCATAGGAATGAAAAATAATAAAAAGCACCACATCTTAAAAAAAGTCATCATTGACCAGAGTTTCACTGTGGTTTGATTTATTGCTCTGCAAGGGAATCAAATAGATTTGGTTTTTTTATTGGTTCTGATTCACTTATTCCAGTGAATTCCAATTAGAAGGAAATTAGAGTTATTCTTTCTGTTGGATCAATTATTCAGAACAGAGATCATTTAAAAATGAGTTTAGTGGAAGCAACTCACTTCATTTTTGCTAAAACTGAAGAAGAAATGAGCCAAATTAACTAAAATAGCTTTGAACTCCATATTGACTGCAGTGTTTGTGCCAGAATAGAAACTCATGACATGTAACAACGGTGTAAATGATTAATCGTTTTAGTTCATGGATATCTACATTTTTATTTAATTACATCTATGCATAACATAAACTGTCTGAATCCTGGGAATCCAAGCCAGAGAAGCTGAGGAGTCTTATTCTGTTTAACATCCACCATGTGTTGTTTTCTTGTAGGGTTAATTTGTAAAATGTAAACCACATACTATTTGTGTGCAGTGTTCGGGGCTATTTATAGCAAGTCCTGACCATTTATAATTATCCGACATCTTTAACCATAATGTCTGTGTGTGACTAAGGAGATGGTTATGGAACAGACAAAACAATGCTACTTTTACAGCTGAACTTCAATTTATTTTACAGAAAACTTTTGGGAGTATTTTCTGCTCTGTGGAATGGGGAAGGGGTATTCTCTACTTGGACAGCTCTTTGTCAAGGAGACCAAACTTATTCCCAAAGAGGCATAAGCACAGGCTTCCATTTCCCCTCTGAGCACACTCCCTGTGGAGCAGAGGCTGTAGGTACAAGAGCCTTTCTTGGCTCTTCCATGGCTGCTCATGTTTCTTCTTTGTCTCTTGGCAGAACCCTGGAAGTTTTGGTGAGTTTGAATGAAGGCCAGTCTTTCATGTCCAGCTCGTTAACCATCACTGCTTCGGAGTGTGTAAGTGAATGGCTTCTGTAACCCCTTGTAAAATCTCCACACCCCGTTTCTTTTTGGACTTTGCCATTGCAAGACCTCGGAGTACAAAACCTCTGCTTCCACTTTGCTGTGCAAAGCTGTGTCTTTCCAAGTACTGGGAGGCTTCCCTGCCCTCACAGACCTGTCCTGAGGGCCAGGCGTGACAATCAGCTGGGGCCCATTTGGCACAGCTCTTCCCATTGTAGGACTGCAGGGAGCAGATGGGCACAAGCCTGGCCCTTCAGCCTGTGTGTGGAGAGAGGTTACAGTCCTGCAGAGGTGCCAATGCTCTGTAACTCTGGCACCTGAGTGAGGAGTGGAGGCTCTCAGCTCTTGCTCATCCGGGCACACAGCCTGTTCAAGCAGAGGCCTGAGCGTCCCACTTGCACCTGGGAGGGAGGCAGTGGGAACATCCTGCTAAGTCTGATCACAGGTTATGGAAGAGATAAAAACTGCTTCTGGGAGAGACCACACACTTGTGCAGCCAGTGACTGTTCTAACTTAACACAGGAATTTTCTACTCTCACATTTTTGCTGTCCTTTAATTCCTTCTATATTACACAGGACAGCTGGAATTTGTGGAGGGAGACATGAGCCCACAGTGTCGAGCATGTGCTGTGCACATGGGCCTGTAAATGTGTCTTACCTCAAGTGTGACTGGAGAGCAGCTTTTCCACTGGGCGTGGAGCACAGAGAGAATCTCTTTTGCCCATCACCACACACTGCTCCCAACAGGATTCCTTTGCTCATACATCAGTAACTGAAAAGAGAAAAAATGACATTTTTATTCTGTTCATTTAAAACCTCACAATTTGTGCAGCTGTAGAGATCAGAGATGGAGTGCAGCCCTGCAGAGTGAGGAGGGGAGGCCTCACTGAGCTGGGACCAAAGGAACACAGAGCCCAAATCACAGTTCTCTGTTTCAGGGCCTCTGTCAGTGAGCAGCACGCCAGCCGTACACCCGAGCAGGGTGGCTGAGGGCTGTGCAGCACAGGAGCTGCTGCAGCCCAGCTGCAGCCTGCCTGCACCACAGCCCTTGCAGAGGAGGCAGCACATGGTGCCCCTGTAAGAACTGCCAGGAGTGCACAGAGAGGAACAGAAAAGCCCTGACACAAAGCAGCTCAGAGCGAGATGCTGGGCACCGCCTTCCCACTGAGCTCTGCTGCTCTGTGCTCACAGCCTGTCCTGGCAGGAAGCAGAGAGGTACAGATGTGCACAGCAGCAGGAAGAGCTTCTCAGCAGCCTTTTTTGTCTCTTTCTGGTTTCTGCTCTTGGCCTGTGCTGCAGCAAAGGCAGCTCCACACAAGAACTGCTGTTTCCATAGTAGCAGATGGGCAACTCAAGAAATGGGTCACTGCTAGAACTGCTCACTAATTCTGGGAGCTGAGCAGCTGACGGCTGACTGGGAGATGAGTTACAAGTTACAGCCTCCCAACAAACACACGTTACTGCAGTGAAAACAAACAAAATCACCCGACATTAGGCACCCAGGCACCACTGTACCTGTGTGCCTCACTGCACCTGGGATATGGCTCTGTTCCACCCCCATGTGCAGTGGAGCACCTCTGAGACAAGACTGCTCATGCAGTATCCCAGTCTCAGTGGTTCCCTGGGTCGCTCCTTTCCTTTTTTCCCCAGATGAAGTCTGAATAACTTTTATTTTCCTAGAGATGCTGTTGTGTTTCTGTCAGTGTTGTTCCAAAAGCCTAAAGTGTAGGAATAAAGATGCCCCCAGGAAGTGGACTGGAGCCGTGGGAGGTGGGCTGCTCAGTTCTGTAGTTCAAGTATTGCTGGAAGCAGGAACATTCCCTCCTTCAGTTTCAGGTTCCCACAGCACGGCTGCAGGGAGTCAGCGTGCCACAGTCTGTGCAGGGGTCTGGGTGATCAGCATCAAAGCCTCACAGGTGTACTGTTTGTAGGGATGCCTACAAACCTCCCTGCGTGCTCCCCAATCCACTTGTGAGACCTGGGACCTCATGGAGGAGAAGGGCACCTCTCTGTTATCCACAGTCTTAGGATGAGACTTCCGCTTTGGTGTCTGATGGCTCATTCCCAGCAGGCAGTGGGCTCTCTCTTTTCCTCAAGCTGGGCCTCGTTCTGATCTCAGGGCTATCAGTTTTATGAGCTTTACATCAGAAGGAAGCCCCTGGGCTGAGCAGGACTGTTGCTGGCTTTTGGGGCGAGCGGGTGTTTTGGGGACACTGACGCTGTCCCTGCTGTCTCCGCAGTCCAGTGGCGTGGCAGCGCTCATTGCCGTCCTCGTGCTGTTGCTGCTGGTGGCGCTTGGCCTGCTCTGGTGGTTCTGGCCCCTCTGCTGCAAAGTGGTGAGTACAGACCCTGGGGAACAGCCCCTACACCCTAAGCTGGGGTGGAAACAGATCTGCAGTAAACTGTGAAGTGATGGGGAGGCAGCTCTGGGGGGGCTTGTGACAGGCAGGAAAGGGCTGGGGAGAGCAGCTCCAGCGCTGGGGCTCCACTGGGCATGGCCCCGCCTGTCTGCGTCACGTGCACAGGAACCAGCACCAGCATGGTGCTGATACTGGGAATGGGGTGGCCTTAATGGTGTGCAGATGTTACCCTGACATCAAGGACCACTTTAAAACTGCTCTCAGTAAAATTGGTATTTGTAGGCCATTAGGGGCTCTCAGGTTGGAAATCCCTATTTTTTTTTTTTTATAATCCCTGCACACATCCATCTCTTTTATCTGAGTGTGCTCTCTATCCTCACCCCAGCAGCAGCAGTGTTGATCACTTTCCTCCTGCCATTCCTTTCTGGGGGAGCAGGGAAGTTTATTATTCATTCAGCTCAAAGACAGCATGGAGGACTTGGGAAATGGAGATTGCTTCCCTGGTCTGGGTACCTGTTCTTGTCTGGGGCTTGTGGAATGTGGGGCAGAGAGGAAGTGGCCTTCTCACTGACCGTGCTGCAGCCCTTGTGACCCGGAGGGTCCATCGGGCCCCTGGCTGTCCAGGGCAGGAAATCTCAGCCTCCATCTGCACCCTCACAGTCTGGGCTTCCTGAGGTGAGAACAAAAAGCCTCGCTTGTTCTCATTCACCACAGCACAGGCCCAACAGAAATCCAGGGAGCTTCCTGTTAGTCACCTTACCTCCACTTGGTTTCATATGATGAGCCTCCCTATGGAAAAGGAACATGGCAAATCAGTAAGAAGCAAACTACTGGTTTTATTATTTAAAAAAAAACTAACCTTGATTCAGAAACCAGCTTCATAAGTTAAAATTGCTACATGAAACAGTCCAGCGAATAGTTCTATATTATCAATTTTCAGCCTTATAAAACCATAGTTCTTCAAATGTTTGTGCCCTCTGTGTTTCCTCCCACCTCCTGTGGGTACTATTTTGTTACTTCAAAAGAAAAGGCAATCTTAGACCTCTGCTACAGCACTGCTGTGTTCCAGGCCCACACGCTGTTGCACTGAACCTGCTGCAGAGCACTGGTCCTTCCTTCTGGTTTTAGCTCAGTTCCTGCCCTTCTCTCCTGCCCATGAGGCCTGGACATCCATCACTGGAAGGGCCACTTGTGGCTGAGTAGTCCTGGGCTTCAGGGCAGCGTCCCTGAGGAGAGAGGCAGCATTAGGGCTGGGCAGGACCTGCTCTTCCCTTCCTCTGGCTCTGCTTCCCTGGTTTCCTGGAACAAGGAGCACGAGCACAGGAGTCAGATTCCAATGGAAAAGAGAGGTGCAGGGTGTTGTGGGCAGAACAAGTGTCTGGAGCCAGGCGGGTGTGTTGTCCCCTGCCTGCAGCCCAGCTCCATCCTGGCTGGGGCTCAGTCTCACAGCGTTCCATGGTGTGAGTCCCTTGGACACTCAGAGGGTGGGGCAGGGGGACTCCTCTTCCTTTTGCTTCCTTGTCCCCCACTTTCAAGGGTTTCACTGTGACAGTTCTGTCACTTGTCCTTCGCTGTGGAACATATGATTGCAGCAAGCTGGCTGTAGGCTCTGAGCTGACATCTCCTAATGCCCACATAATGGAGCGGCAGAGAAGTGTTAATGAGTGGATCAGAGGCACTGCTGCCTCAAGCACCAACTTCTTTTTTTTAATGATTTTTTTAAAGAAATCAGTTCTTCTCCAAACTCAAACCTTCATTTTTTGCAACTCACTAAATGAGATGGAGCTTTGCCCTGAGAGACTGATGATAACACCAAACAAACTGAGGAAGCAGCCCATATCTCCATGAGGATGATAAGACAGCAGCATTATTCAGAGGCTTCGCCACTGAAACAATCTGAATCCAGCTTGGGGAAAGTTAATTTAAAATATTCAGGTCTTCCTCTGTGCAGATCTGTGTGCAGCTCCATGCAGAGCTGCACGTGTGCCTTGGATTTCTCTTCTTCATAAACAGCTTTCTAATGATTTCACTTGGAATATCACACGATTGAATAGAATCCTTGTGTGTGCACGTGTGATTCGAGTGTGTGAGTGTGAGAGCCTGTGGAAGCATAAGGATGCAGGCATTGACATTCCAGTGCTGTCAGCAGGGTGAGGAGCTGCTACTCAAAGCAGATTATTTTCTCACACCACTGTCACTTTTAAAACAAGTTTGATTTTCTGAAGCCATTAGAAATAACAGCTAATTAATGGATTGCTTGGCTTTAAACTGAATTTCCCCTCAAACTTCAGCGAGTTCAGGAGCTGGCACAGGATTAGATCCTCCACTTGAGGAGATGAGCAAAAGCTGCCACTGACTATTGCCTTAGGAAGCCACAGTAAGCTCAAACAAGTCAGGTTTCCCTTGATTGTCAGGGAGGGAGCTGTAATTCCTACATCCCCAATGGGCACAGGGCCCGCAGGAATTCCATCCCTCATCACGGAGAGGTTGGCTGGGCAAAGCTGTCTGTGTCCAGACAGATGTGAGCCTTCAGAGTGGCACAGCTGTAGATGGGGAAGGGCAGTGCCATTTCATAGGGGGGCACACAAATCCACCCAGAAGGACCTTCTCCTGTACAGCTGGCAGGCCTGACAGAGACAGAGACTGTTTTGGGATGATGGTTAGGGACAGGTGAAATGGAAATAATGACAGAAATTAAACAAGGTGTCCCTTCATTGAGAGAAAGCGCTGCTTTACTGTTTCCAGTCTCCTAATTGCTTTCAGCGAGAACTGAATATCTCCAGGCTTTGGCAAATCCAACTCAGCATCCAAGTATCTCTCAGGATCTGTCTCACGATCCCTCTGTGTTGCTGTTTCGTGTACAGTTAGGGTAATGATAGCAGTGTGGCTCTCAGGAATGTTTCACTAATTAAATAATTACTTTCTGTTAAGTATGCTGGAAACTCCTGATGACTAGGAAGAAAAAGTGTTCAGAGCTATTTAAAGAAAAGTAATGTCTGGCATGGTTTTGCAACATCCTAACAGCAAAGGGATGTCTCAGAGTTGAAATCTACAGGTCACTTTCCAATCCATCCAAAGCACTCTGAGCTTGACAAATGAGCCATTCCATAACTTAAATCTGAAGGGCTGTGGAAAGCTGGTTCCAGGGGTGCCATAAGTTATTTCTGCTATTGGGCAGAATTCCTTTATGCATTGCTGAAAGTCCACAGCCTGTTTAGGCAGTCAGTAGTAACTGCCTGGGTGGCACTGAGAAGTGAAATGTAAATCAAGATGGAAAACTCTACTGATCAGAAAAATATGTTTCTTTCATGCATTGTGCTGACTGTCTGCAATGGTATTGCTCATAGGCAGTGTTTAATGAAAGTACTAACATTAAATAGCACAGAGTGACTCAAGTAAGGCATATTTCAATTAAGTTACTTAAAGCCTGTATTACATTGAGTTGTTTGTCAGCATGCGCAGTTTTGGATATGTTTGTGTAATATCAAGGCATAGCAAAAATGGACTCCTTGATATTCAAGGTGTATTTTTTAGTCATTTCCAGGCAATCCCAAACCCAAAACATGGCCCAATGTCACCAAAAAACTTAACAAGGTTAGCTTGCAAACCTGCTTTTCTCGAGGAGGAGTGCCTGTGCATGCAGCTTGCAGCCAAATCAGTGGAGAGGGTCCCTTGCCTGCCTCTCCCCTGCTGGGACTGTCAGTGCTGGGCATTCTCTGAGCTTTAGAGTGTGGATGTGGCAAAGGGAACAGGAAGAGACTGTAGGGAGATTTAAATAGAAGTGTAAGAAATGCTCCCGGGAGTGGGCTTCACCCGGAGCAGTGTCAGAAGTGTGGGAGTGTGACTGCAGTGCAGGCACTGCACAGTCATGGAGCTGGGAGGTGGGAAATGTGAGGGCTGCGGAAGCGTCCAGGACATCCAGAGGTGAAGCCTGAGCTGCCAGAAGGCATTTCACACTTGTCACTGGGTCAGAGACTCCCCAGCCACACAGCAGCAGCAGTGGCAGCTCGGCCCACGGCTGTGCAGGGCCTCACACAGGCCTCAGACGCTTTTCCTCCAGGATTGCTCATGGACTCTGCGGGGTCTCGGCACTGGCTATTCCTCACGGCGGCTGAGGCTCATCCGGCCAGGAAGCGCGGTGGCAGACACGTCTGCCCAGAGTGTCTGCAGGCAGGGATGGCAGGTCTGGCAGATGGATGGTGGTAATTTCCAGAAGGCCTCGCTGATGGATGCCCAGGGGAGCGGGCAGCAGAGGCTGCCAGCTTGCTGGCGGTCGTGGGGGCTCGGGTGGAAGCAGGTCACTCTTACCGTGGTCTGTTGCCTTTGGCTGCTGCCACTGCAGTGCCTTATTCTTTCCTATGTTTGGCTCTTCCAGGTCATCAAGGATCCCCCTCCACCTCCGCCAGCCCCAAAAGAGGTATGGTCTGATGGTGCTCATCTTACCACGCTGCTCACATAGAACCGCTCCTGTGCTTCCCTGTGCACCGTGTGTCTGGCTCCTTGTCTGAGTGCTGCCAGAGAAAGGACTGCCCCAGGGGTGCCTTCAGAGGAGAACAGGGTTGCTGAAGTCCAGATCTCTGCTCTGCCTCAGCTCAGTGCGGCCTGAATTAAGTCCTGATCCAAAGAAACACTTAGGGCCTTTATTCCAAGATAGCTTTGTTTTCCACATTCTGCACTGAAAGCAGAAAGCTTGAATAGCCCTTGTCCAACACATAAAGATTCATGTAGGACTTAGGCAGTGTTTTCCCCCTGCTCTGTCATTTCAGACACTGAGGAATTCCCCTTAGAAGGGAATTCTTCTCCCTCTTACAGGCAGTAACGCACTGGAGGCTCTGCTGTCCTCAGTGTTTGCACCCCTTTCACAACCAACAGGGTACGCTCTGGGAACTCCAGTGAAATATACAGAAAAGACATTCACTGTGTGGGTGGAAGCATCTTTGAAAAGTAAATACCATTTGAATGTACTTACAGGAAGAAGAACCGGAGCCCTTGCCTTCCAAGAAGTGGCCCACGGTGGATGCTTCCTACTACGGTGGACGAGGAGTTGGGGGAATTAAGAGGATGGAGGTTGGTATGTTTTGGAGATGGCAGTTCCCTCAAGCACGAGCTCTCTGAGGCTGCAAGTGTGGAAACAAAGACTTGACAGTGCACTGAAAATACAAGGCCATAATGTGTGCTTTTCTTCCCACTGGCATAAGCCTTGGAAAATTTGTTACCATATCGAACAATTCTGACCTTGCCTCTGAAAGAACAGCTTTCAGTAGTTCCATTTGACTGGGACTTTAAATAGCTGCCTCAAGACATGCTCTTTCCATCACGCTAATGAGAAAGAGAGAGTGAGAGCCTTTTCTGCGTGTTTTGGAAGGAATTACAGTGAAACATAAGTCCCCCAAGTGTGGGCCAGCCAAATGCGCTGACAATGGTGACGCTGAGGAGAGGCTTGATCCCAGAGGGACTCGCAGCGACAACAGAGCCTGTCTTTGAAGAGACACGATAGCATCATGTTAATTAAAACAGAATGAAGAATGTGCATCCTTATGGGCACATCCTTATGGCAGGTTTTGTAGTCAAGTCAGCCTATATGGAATGTGCAAAGCAGTTCCTAACTGCAGTCCAGGAAGCTGTCTCTGTCTGAAACACCCACCTCGGCCATACTGAGGTGTCTTGATGAAACTTTAAAGATAGTGGCCTAATCAGCTTTGCTCGAGTACTTTTTAAATGCAGAAGCAGAGCATGCAGGTTTGAAGCTGTGTCACTTACATGCATTTTCTTCAGCAGTTCAGAATTGCTAATTTAGAAGAGCTTCAGATTTCACAGAAAGCAAACATTTTGTGCAGTGTTTTTCAGAAGCAAACTAGGAAATGCTTTCCAACATCAAGAATTACAAGCCTGGATTTGAGGGAAACTATGATAGCCTCCAGGAGGGGCTCCCAAATGGGATCCTGCACAATGGAGCAGAAACCTCATGAACACAAGTGACATCAGGACCACAAAGAAAGACATGTTCAGCCCATGGCAAAAATGCAAATGAGGGTAGAAACTGATGATTGGGTTAGAAAACCTTTTCATCTGTGGTAGGAATTTTGTGCAAGACTAAGGGCTAAAAAAGTTAACCAACTGAAATTCCTGCCAGCGTAATCATGGGCCCTAGAAAAAAGCCCCCCCTCTGTGGGGCTGTGGCTCTGTCCCTGAGACCCCAGAGCAGTGACAGGTCTGGCTGGACACCGATGGTCAGTGCCTCTGGGTTTGAGTGAGGAGCTTCACCTCTGCCTTGCCGTGTCTGGGGCGGGCTGGGAAGATGGGCTCAGGCTGTTGGGAGAGCAGGACAGTGTTCACAGCTCTCCCTGGCTCAGAAGAGCACGCTGCTCCTTTGGAGAGTTGGGGCAGAAGCGAGAGAAAACACCCCAAGGGAGGTTGTTCCTTACCTGGCAGGTAGAGGTGGTTTCTGTGCCATGGCCAGTGACAAACTTGCTGGCCCAGTCATGACATTTCTTCCATGTTTGCAGTCCTTGTGGCATGGAGTCATCTGGTTTTTATTGCTTCTCTGGCCTGTTTTATTCTGCCATTCCTCCGGCATCCTGATTCCTCTGGCAGCCTCCCCTTCTGGAGAAGGGAAGGGACTGAACTCTCACCCTTGCACTTCCCACTCCTGTACTGGGGCAGGTACCCATCCACTCCTGCCTTCCCCACTCGCTCCACCGCTCTGTGGCAGTCCCACATAGCTTGGGCAGTGCTGTTTGCTCTCCTCGCTCTGTCTTTTGGCATTGTTTCCGGGTTTGTGATGTCATTGCCAGACCCCACCTGTTACATTAATTAATTTTTATGTCAAAATTGGGTGGTCAGATTCCACCACTTCTGGATTCTCCTGGGTGAACTGGCTTCTCCCTGAAGGAGGAGTTAATTTTTTCAGTGAGATCCACCAGCTAATGGTTTTAACAGTGTTTAAAATACATGTTAGCAGCCACATGACAAGCCCTGTACAAGTGCCATTGATCACAGTGAAAGACAGGTGTACAGGGGCCTCCTGGCAGGCCAGATCCCAGCAAATGGCATGATTATGGCAAGTCTTGTTGAAATGATCCAGGCCACTGTCACTAAGCACTCTCAATCTTTTAGCTGTTACTTTTTGGATGAGAAGGGAACTGCCTTGTCCAGGCTGGTTTCTGTGTGCAGTACAGCAAACACCCCTGCTCAGATTGCTGCATGGTGCCTGCAGTTACAAGGTGAAAGAGGATTCCTGCAGCAAGGTGAATTATCCCTCTTAGTGGGGAGGTTTTTCCATGTATTTCATCTCCTGAGGACAGTGAGTACAGTCTGTATGGAAGTGGGAATATGTGTCTGTCTCCCCAGCAGTAATAACCCTGGTTTGCTGCTCTTTCAACTGCATATGATATGATATTATATATATATACACACACTTGGAGCAGTGTAACATACACAGTTAACATTAACATACACAGTGTTGCATGTTCTGCATGCACTTAGGCAGGGTAGACAGCTTCACCTGCATTTCTGCAGTGTGTATCTTCCTGCAGGACAACATGGAAAACTGAGCAGGTTCAAGGAGCTTCTGCCCAAACCTCCTTAAGCATCACATTAAAACTACACTGGGGTTCTTGAAAACTCTCTGGGCTAGGAGACCTGGGTTCAGAAATCTTGCCTTTCATGGGTGCCAGATTAAGTTCTGGTATTTTAGAATAAATCAGAAGTGGAAATTACATTTTTTTATCATTACTTAGAGAAGATTTCACAGATTCCCTGTCGCCCATGTGAAGCAAGATAGGATTTTCTTTCACTACTGAGACTTACTTACAGACCTTTACCTAAGACTGTTGTTACCATAATGAAGAGGTAGTGATCTCCTCAGCACTTCCTCTCTCGTTTATCCAGCACTTCTTCCAGATTTATCCTGTTATTTGCAGCATTGTCCCTGCCCTGAGGTGCACTCACATCTGAACTCTGCCTTTCCTCAGGTGCGCTGGGGCGACAAAGGCTCCACAGAAGAAGGGGCCAGGTTGGAAAAAGCAAAGAATGCTGTGGTGAAACTCCCAGAAGAACCAGAAGAACCTTTTCACCCTAAACCACCTAAACGAAAGCCTACCTCACCAGCCATGCAGCAGAAGTGGTACACACCAATCAAGGTATCTGTTCAGTCTTTGGTACGATTTGTTACTAAGGGCTGGATTCTTTGTGCCTTATGCAGGCTGAGCCGTGCCTTACTTTCCAAGTGTTCCCATTCAAGTGCAATGTGCTATTCTCGAAGGGAACACCTACTCAGCAGGAATGGCAGGAGCAGTTTGTAGCCCTAAATGCAATACTTGATCATTACTGCCACGTTCTGTTTGCCTCCCCTTAAAAAGGGACATATTGTACAGTGACAGCATTAAAATCTATGGGGGCTTTGTTGGCTTAGTAGAACTAATTAAACCCAAAACTGCACAGTTTGTAGCTGCTACACTAAGTTTTAAACACACATTGTCATGACAAACCAAAAAAAGCAAAAAATTATATGAAACAATGTAATGCAAGAGTTCTGATAAAAAGTGAATTGTTCTATCTGGCTCATAAGAACAGTGCTCTGAGTCACCTGCAAACAGAACACAAGCACTGCCTACAGGCAGAGGGTGGGTCTGCAAACACCTTGCCTCCTTTAGGTGTTAAGAGCAGAAAGCACCCAGGTGTAGGTGGCACTCTGGGATACTGCTGTCTTCCCAAGTGCCTGCGGGTCCCTAGTGACACCCAGAAAGCCCTGAAGCTGTGATGTCCAGGCACACAGGCAAGGCCCAGCACCATCCGTGCAGAGCGGGATGCTCCTAACCGGCTCCGCTCCCCGGGAGGTGAGTGCCCTCCCTGGCACTCCACGTGGGCAGGAGCAGCACCACAGTGGTTGTAGGGAACACAGGCCAGGCTGAGCTCGGCCTGCCTGGCTCCAGGGAAGTGGAGCTGCACTGCAGGTGCCCAGGATGGCCCCGGCAGCCCCCATGCCGCTGCTGCCCCTGACTGAGCCCCTGTGTCCCCGCAGGGCCGGCTGGACGCGCTGTGGGCGCTGCTGCGGCGCCAGTACGACAGAGTCTCGCTGATGCGGCCTCAGCAAGGAGACCAGGTGGGTGCGCGGCACACGGCCAGCGTGGTGGCTCTGGCCTGGCGGGTGGGGGGCCACCGCAGTGGCACACGGGAAGGGTGACACACCACACGATCTGTGTGGTGACAGACGCGTGGCACCAGCCTGGATGCGCGGCACTGGCACAGGGTTCCTGCAGGCAGAGGGAGGGGTACTGGATGTGGTGTGTGCTCAACAGGAACACAGCCCGTGCAGGGCAAACTCCTGTCACAAGCACACAAATCGCTCTCACACCCAGCTGTCTGTAACTGCAGAGGCTGGCAATAATGTCCGCGCAAGTTGCTTCCTAGAGCTTTGCGCTTCCGCACCAGTGACACTTTTCACAGAAGGAAAAGGTGAGGAAATGTGTTTCTCAGACAGTCCTTTCTCCTCAAACATCTGTGGCCACTGAAAAAGGGGCCTCTCACCCAAATGCTGCTGAGGACACAGAACTGCTGTTTGCACCTCTGACAGTGAAACCAGATCAAGTATTTTTGATTGCTGCTCCTCAGGAAAGTATCATTTTGAATGTCAGCATTACCTCCTGCATCCACTCAGCTTCCTGTTTGTGGCACTTGGCAAGAGCCACGGGAGCAAATGCTTTTCCTTAAGCAGGATGGCACAGGTCACAGTCTCACGTACTACAGAGCCCTGTCTAAGCACCATACAACATGAAGGCCACAGAAAGGATGAGAGGGCTGAAGGGGAGGGAGTTACATGTGATAGAATGGGAGGTAACAGGAATTTTGATTATTTTCCCCGGATGAAGTTTGGTGCTGTTCAAAAGAATGAAGAGGTGAGACTAAGGTAAGGCCAGTGTTGGAAGCAGCAGAATGGCCAAGTGTCATGCTGCAGGTGGAGAGCACAGCTGGATACAGCTGTTAGCATTGTTACCGTGGCAGATTAGTCACTGTTTGCATGAATGATGCATGTGACATGGAGCAGCAATAACAGCAGCAATCTACACACAAAATACATGGCACAATACAGTTTAACAGGTAAATTCAATGTGAACAG